TTTCATCCCTTGACTAATCCCAATTTACAGAAAAATTACTTAAAAACCCCTTAAAAATAATTGAAAGTCCCACTTGTATATATCATATCGTCTATAGCTCAAAAAAAGCGTAAATATTATTGCACATAGATCCAAACGACCTTCTAGTTTGTTTAGTAATGTAATTTTTGAAAATGTTAATTCAACTCAAAACAAAGTTTCAGTTTGAATGATTCAAGGTTTCGACGATTTAATAGGACAAAGATTTTGTATGAATTTAGAGAAACTATTTTCTTTCACATATTTGATGCTGATTTTTTTAATTTATCAATATAAATGCATCGTTTGCTTATTGAATGGTTTTTTAGAAATATTCTCTGTAGTTGCATTTATTTAATAAACAATTTACATTTTTTGTAAAACATATTTTTAAGTTAGTGTAATAAATTGATATGTTTTAAAATAAAATTACCTGGAGAGTGAAATGTACCTACTGTAAAATGTGGGACACTTAGATGATTCGAAATAAATCATTATTAATCTAATTACCTAGATACACACTTTATTATGGATTTCGGTTAAATTTTTATTTGGCTAAAACTTGGTATACAAATTTCAAATTTGGTATATAGATTTTCCTCGATATGTCAAATATAATGACATAAAAATAAATTTGGCAAAATCCGCCAACGGTCGAATGGGCTATTTTTTTAAGACCATTTTAGACCCTCTGAAACACATATCAAAATACTTTTTTTGCCTTGAAAACGCTTTAAAATATTTTTTTCTTACCTTAAAACTTTAAAATGTGTCCTCTAATTTAATTTTCGTAGTTTAGTTTCTTAATTTACGGCCAGATTAAAGTTCGTCAAATTGATCTAATTTTCATAAACCCAATGACAATTGACATTCGCAGTGTGGCGTGTGTCTAAAAAAAATACAATCTTGCCATATCAATTATTACATGGCAATGATCATTTTTATTTACACACTTCGCCAAAATTTTTGGACCACACTCGTAAATATTAAAACGAAATATTTATCATGGCTTTTTCGTACATTTAATGTTTATTTATTTCACCCTTGATACGCATCTAAAAACTTATTTCAGAAGAACGTATGGTCGATTCATTTCCAATACCACAATACGGCGGGGACTTGCTGGAGTCAATTTACGATCTAGGAGACCATAAGAGTACCCAGGTTACGTCCCAGGCATATAGCTGCTTGTCTACAGTGGGTTTAGGAACACAGATACTGACTTTTAGCTCAGTGGTGAAATGTTCTTTTTTATGAAGAAACCAGATATGGTTTAATTAGTGATAGTGAAAGACTTTGCCAGAAAAGTTGTTCCATACCAAGAAGGAACAGTAATGTTTTGGGGAGGCATAATGCATGGTCGTTGTACGCAGCTTATTCCCATTCTGGACACTATGACAGCTGATAGATATGTTCGAAACATTATTGAACCCATTATTTATCCTCTCCGAAATGAAATTGGAGCCATCGCACGAGAAGAGTACAAAATGCACTAGAAATTCAGAACATTCAAAGATTACCGTGGCCAACAAATTCGTCAGATATGAATCCCATTGAGTACATGTGGGATTTCGTTGGAAGAGCAATCTCAAACAGTATTAATCCTCCTATCACCCTCCAAGAACTCACAATCGCGGTCCAAGAAGAATGAAACAACATTCTAATAGATTACATTAACACCCTTATTTTTTCCATGCACAGGCGAGTTAGTACCTTTTTACAGAACAGGGGATAAATGTTTGATTTCGCTCTAAAGTGGTTTTCTTCTGGATTTAAAATTCTAGTAATCATTTTATTATGCACTATTTTTCGTTTGTATTTTTTTCTTGTTCAGTTAAAATTTAATTCAGCCAATGTTTATTGGATACATAACCTAAATAAATGTGCTATGTAACACACTTCTTGACTTTTAATAATAGTATCTCATTTTGACAAACATAAGGGGGTCCAAGAATTTTGGCGATATGTGTATATCCTGTTGTACCAATTGACTTCAGTATCAGAAAAAATATACAAAACTAACGATTTAAAAAATACCAATATCAAGATCTTCTTCCTCATCGGTAGAGTACTCTTCGACGTCAATATTGATATTTTCTAACCTGACCAACCCTCACTAGCGTCTGGCCAGTGAACTTCGAGCCCAACTTTTAACAAACGCGTCTTTGTTGCGTGTATCTAATAATAAAAAAATATACAATAAGACGAAGCAACGACTTCTTTTAGGGTGGCGTCTGCTACATATGTTGGTAACATGTACGTCATGTGTCAAGTCATATGTCAAAGAATGAATAAAGAGCACTCTAGAACAAACCGTCTTATGATATAGTCGACCGAACCAAGCTCCTAAAATATCCCATCCATATTATATTATATTTTATATTATAATAGTAAAGTAATATAAAATAACAGCGTCTTCGCCGACACCAAAAATTTTTTAACCGATACCTGGCTACGCCGGCCGGCATAGACTCTAACGGCCTGGATACGGCTCAAATTAAAAAAAAAGTATTTTTACAAACAGTACATAAGTTCCGACATGTCGTAATTAACGCACATCATGAAATGAAATAAAAAGACGGATGTCTGCGATTACTACAAATGTTTCACTTAGGGATCCAAGTTGACCTGCCGGCCAGACGCTATGTAATTTTTCGGCTACACTGTATGGCCTGAAGCCATTTCCAAACAGCCAACTTTCTTTAACCGAACTATTTCCTATCGTATACGTTTTTTTACTCGATTTGGCAATAACGCATTCATAGAAACTAGAAACGTCAATTGTCATTCTAACAAACTTAAAAGTGAAAAATAAGAAAATTTAATGGTTTATAAAAAAATTGGTATAGTTTATTGCTCTATGAATCGTCTAATATTGATATTTAGCCGTTTCTACAACAAGAAATAGTAAACATGGTTTATTTCATATTTGTTTTATGATGGAGCCTCCGACAATAAATTTTAAGGATTTTAGTGTCAGCGGATCCAAAACTGTTATGTATAGTTTGTTTCAAAGTGTCTAGAAACTTTCTGTAAAATTTAAATAGTTACATCTGCCATTCGAGTGTCGGCGTATATTACCAATTTTTAAAAATGCGTATGTATGTACATTTCACTTTAAAATATCATGTTTACAATGGAATGAAAAGTATTCAAAGTGTAGAAAAAGCTAAGTAAAATATGAACAAAGAACAAAATACGTGAAATGAAAAAAATGTATTTACACAGTAATTGAAAATACGACCTACCTTGAATCATTCGTTTTGTATTGGCCCAAGATATTGAGCCTTATAGGCGCGCTTCTAAAGGCGCAAGGTACTTCACCTATATTATACTGTGATCCTAAACATCTAAATATTATAAAACGCAACAGCCTCTCTTTTAAACAATGGCGTAACATGTATCAGATGAATAGTAAAAAAAAAATAATAAAAAAACTAAATGAATTTTACAATTTAACACCTTATTACAGTTACGTCACTGCATGTGATCACGATCTTCAAGACCGCGCTAAAGCGTTAGAATTTATTGAAAAAAAGGTGTTGAGTTTGAAGGGAAAAGAAACTCTCAGTTGTTAGTAATACTTTGAAGGATCTGATTAAAATTATTTTAAATTTTTGCTATTTCGGAATATCATTTAAAAAAATTAATAGTTTCTTTAGTACTAACGTAGTGGAATTTGTTAATGAGTCATTTAAATTTTAAAAAATGTACTGGAACATTTTGTATTTTAATTTGAAATTAAATACCATCATTAATTTTGCACAGTACATGATTAAATATTTTTTAGAAAAATAAATAGTAAATTGTAAAAGTATAAATCCAAAGTTGAGCGTTTAACGACCCGAGCTATAAAGGCTTATGTCAACTTAGTTATCGAATCAAAAATGTGATTTAAACATTTTATACAAAGGCTTTTTTAAGACACCGTCACCAAGCGCTCCACCGGTGCGTCTTCAGCAAAGTATTTCCATTTTCTACAAGACAAAAATGAACAAAAAATTGTATACAACAAGAGCCACTGGCTTCCCTACCATATAGTTTCATCGAATAGATTTACCCTATATATAAAATAAAATTTCACCTTATTCAACAACTGCAAACAATTATGCTTTTAATTTTATGATTAAAATTACTTTTCATGTCAAGTATCTTGAAGAAAGAGTTCCATTTTTCTTCAATCTCATCACCATTTTAAACACGTCGAAGCGTGTACAGTGTGTAATTTGTGGATTTGTACTGGAAGAAAATTTTGGAAATATCCGAGCATTGTTACAATGCCCGCTCGTTTATAATTTAATTAGTTTTTTTAATAACCACCTATCAGAAAGATAATTTGAATATACCAATCATACTTAGTACTATACACATTCATACTGTTTTTTTTTTTTGTTAAATTTAGAATTAATTTGTTCCACATTGGCATGTCATACATTGAACCGCATCATAGAGATACAAATAGCAAAGTTTTTAGTCGTTTTTTAGAGAAGGATATATCTATTGTGAATAAAAATTAAAATGTTAATGATTCGTTGTCCAGTTGATTGGAAATCTACGAAAATTGGATTCTGAATTCATCTAGAATGAAATTAATTGTATTAAAATGAATTCGTAATAATGCATTCTGGAATTAAACAGCTTTCAGTTACTCTGAACGAATTCAAATAAAAAAATAAAAAAAAATATTTTGCAGTCATTAGATTAAAACAAACAAATTATGAAAAAAGTTTAAATTTCTATCAATATTTGAACATTTTTATTTTACTTATATTTAGGAGATATCAAAATTTGATGACTACAAAAAGAATAATTAATTAATTAATTTTGTTACTATGTGTATAATAATATGAAAACACTTGTAAGTAACGAGTAAAAAATTTAAGTAATAATGTAAGTATAACAGTTGTATTTAATTTCGTTTACTTAATTAAACACAATTTATAATATATTCAGAATAATTTAATATTTACAATTAAATAATTTATCCTGACTTTTTTCTTTTTCCATTAAACTGGACATCAAATCTTTTTATGAAATTAATGTAATTAAGTTAAATCGATTTCTTACGAAGAATCATCGAAATCACCTTGCTAAGAGTCTTAAAATGATTATTAAATGGATTTATAAAGCTTCCAGTCATAATCCAAATATTGAGCCTCATACTTAAATCCTAAGTCTGAAATTACCTATTACAAGTTATTTTTTGCTTCATAAATTTTTAATGTACCTTACATCTTACTAATAGTAATTTGATTTTAAAAACGTCTGTGACTTGGTTCTGGGTTTCATTTATTACAAGATTTAGAACATATTTCGTTTTGCTTTTACTGGTTACGATATCACACTCAAAATCGACAAAAATAAGTTTTAGGCCGGCGGGCATAATGTCCCAATTACAAAAATGTTAGTTTCATAAAATCGTTCATTAAGTAGTTTTAAAAATGATGACAATTTCAATTTGTACCTAGATATCAAAAAAATTAATGTGTTAATTGGAAATACTGTACATAATGTGAAAGTTTTCTTCACCTTCTGATATAAAGTTATGTCTCAATAATTTTGGGGCAAAATAATTTCACATTATTTCGATTCTAGATCTGTCATAAATCTAGATTTTTCACTTTTTTGGGAGACTTAAACACAGTATATCTTACTCACAACCATCAGTAATTATTGTCCTATAAGTTGTAAGTAGATAGTAAACCATTTGATCACATTTTGTCGATTTTTCACCAGATCTGGGGAAATTTATAGAGTAATCTGGCAAAAGCGCACTCATAATTCAATCCTAGGTACATGTGCAGCGTTGCCTTTTTGTTAAGTTCCAGATTAATTATCAGGCGTACTTACCATTGATTAATGTAATGTGGAGGTGCCAATTATACTCTTCATATTTTCCCAGATCTGGGGAAAAATCGAAAAACGTGTAATCGAGTGCCTTACTATCTACTGTTGTAATACGTGAGATGAATTGATTTTACGATAATTAAATGACCAAAAACTGTTACATTTGGTGGTAATCAAATAACGTCTTTATTATGGAATAATGTAATCATCTAGTCATAGAAAAACATGATTTCTGTTTGTTATTTATTGGTTAATTTCCAGAAGAAAAATTAAAAAGTTTCATATCGTATCATATGACCAAAAAGGTCATTTAAAATCAAACCCGACTTTTTATGAAAAATTTAAATAAAAAAAATTTCTCTTATCATTGATACATATCATAAGTGATTTAAGAAACTTAGATAGATGTTAAAGTAAAAAAAATACGTTCCCAATTCCAGCTTACTATTTACCATTACTATCCATTTTATGGCATCTAAAATGTGTACCAAAACTTTTGAGACATAGGTCAATTTAGATAAAGGTATTAAGATAAAATAATTCTCCTAGATCAACTGGGAGTGTCATCAAAATTCAATCACACATAATAACTCCTTATGAAGCTACACTTTTGTAACAGGTCGCTTCTAAACTAGAAGCAATTTAGTCGTCCTTGCGCCGTACTATATATTATATAAATTTCGAAGTCGCGCACTCACGAAAAGAACGTATTTCAATTTTCAACAGGCACTTTCCAATTCCTGGCTGCGTTTCCTGCTAGCCTGTCTCTTTCTGAATTCGTTAAATTCCTGTTTCATGGCTTGAACTCTCGCATCGATGTTGTCGTACCGGCTCCTGATTATGTTGTAACTCTTTCTCTGCATCGGACCAGGACCGGAAGTATCTAAATCTATGTCTCTAGATCCTGTTGGTGTCGATGGGGTGGGGGTGGGGGTACTAGGATCGAACTCGTAGTGACCGTCAACGCTACCTACATCAACAGCTTTGTGAATGTGATCTGAAGCTGATGGCGACGAACTAGCTATATCCAACCAATGACCTACAAGAGATGGCGGTGGCGGTGGAAGCATGGACGATGGAACTGGCGGTGGCGGTCTGTAAGGGGGTAAACCCCATCCTATAAACGTGCTCCCACTGTGTAAGCTCTGATTCTGCTGTGAAGTGTTTTTGCTTCCGAAACCGCTTGAGCTGGACCTACTTTCAGGTGATCTATCCAAATGATCCAGCTCTGGAGCGCTTCTAGCTATTCTGGCGTGTCTAGGAGGTAGGAATTTTGAACCTCTAACCAATCGATGTTGCGGTACAGCTCTAGGACTATCCCTTACAGGATGTACAGGTATAAACCCTTGATGCTCTTCATGAATAGCCTTTAAAGGAGGAAGCTCTTGAGAGTACATTTCATGAACCGATTTGAGCTGCATAAATCCTGGTGGCGTGGGATAAGAGCGCTCTCCAGAGCTAGGATATCTAACGGAGCTCAAATCACTAAAGTACAATGGAGTCCAAGGAGACAGCAATAACCCACTCGATGTTGCAGGACTACTAGACATAACTTGCGGTGTGTGCGGGCTGTAGATCGTTTGTATGGGTTTCAGATTTGGTTGCTGATACCCTTGGTTGATGATGAAAGCCGGTAAACCTGAAGTAGATTGGCCGGAAGCGTCCGAACGAAGACTCAGCTCACTGGGATACCCAACGAGCGGTCTTCGCCACGATGCTCGGTTTTTAACGCCCCTTTTTGGTAGAAATCCTCCGTCATCGCTGCTTGATACGTTCGAACAGCTGTCGGCGCGGAGGCTCAAAACGGAATCGACCAATACGAAACGTCCGTCAGCAGCTCTCGAAATGCGAGCCAGAGATTTGGAAGGAGAACCCGGGTGGAGGTAGTCTGGATGCCAGGTGAGACTTGAAAGGCTGCCTGAACGGCAACGATCTCTTGGCCATACCCAATTTGCGATGAAGGCGAGTGTTCTCATACCTGGTATTCGGCCTTTTCTAAGTCTGCGCAAAGAAATTTAATCAGTATTTTAATTCTAGAATACGAATTTTTTCCATTTTATTGCTGATAGTGAATGCAGTCGTGATTATACATCTAAATTTCAAAGTGTTTTTAAGAATATAGAGCTCAGGACATATTTAGTTTGCACGAGTTGAATGATTGGGAATAAGTGGCACATCAAAATAGTGTTATAACAATTAGGGCTGCAACGCTGCTATGCGAACTCAAGAGGAGGAAAGACATGCTGGAAGCTTGATTGGAGAGCAGGGAAATGCCAGGAAGGGTAATATTATCCAGAGGCTTTGTTGATGTTTTTTTGAATGTAGGTTATCCCGGTGAGATTTAGGTAAATATCACGTATTGTTTAGTGATAAAATAGAATGACGACTGCATTCTCTAGGTACTCATACTCATTTTTAAACATTTCAGCATGATTTAATGGAAAAAATCGATAATATTTTAAAATAGATATTTAAAATCAAAAGCAACGATACATGCATTTATTTGAAATTTACATCAAAACAAAAAACAAAATAAGTACCATGCTTTTTTTTAAACTTAACTCGATAATCATGCTTATTACTGGTAAAAAAAAATTATATCGAAATTAATATTATTTCAACAACTAAAAAAAATATGGGACAATTTATTAAAAAAAAATTTTTCTTTCAAATACATACACTTGGACCAGCGTTGCTTTACCCGTGCGTCTTTAATATCTGAAAATATAAAACATATGTTGCATCACTTTTCTACTAAGCGTGAAAATGAAAAGCGGGATAAAATTACTTTCCGTTTGTCATTTCCGCCTTATTTCATATGTACATTAGTTATAAGACGCACGGGTAAATATTATTTGAGTATTTATTTTATATACACTATAGATATGTATTTCAGACCATACAAGGTGTCAAACTTCGCCACATATATATTTTATTATAAGTCCAGAAAAGTAGTAGTATTCTACAGTTTGCTGAAGTTTTATTAATTTCGATATACCAGTTATTTTTTGAGGATGAAAATCATTTCCTGAGTAGAAATTAGTTGGGAAACTATTCAAAATGCTGCACGCATTCCAACGCACATGCCACAGATTCCGAATTTATAAAATTGTTAGGTTATTATTTATTTTTACACTTGATGAATCATTGCCAAATGTATACCAACAATTTGGAGGTAACTTTTCTCTGCTTTTAAAGTCAGCAATATAGTCAAAAATTTGTAAAAAATTTGTAAAAAAATTTGTAAAAAATTTGTAAAAAATTTGTAAAAAATTTGTAAAAAATTTGTAAAAAAATTTGTCAAAAATTATATCATAAATTTGTCAAAAAATCTGTCAAAAATTTGTCTTTTTAGAGTTTTTTATGAAACTTATGACGTATTGAAAATCCAGATTCACGTAGATAATAATTAATAATAATCAGTAAAATAATATATATTATTAGTTGTGCAATTAAATCTGTGTCATGCACTAGTATCTCTAAACTTCAAATCTTTGGTACACCCCTTAAAGAAATAATTTTCAAAATGATTGTGTGTTAACATTAGTTTGAAATGTACCTATTTGCATAAAAAACATTTAGTTAAACAGAAAAAATAATAATAATAATATAAAGTATTTTTTACAGGGTATTCCATAAGTCTTGGATCAAACAATAGGCATTTGATATAAAAAAACTATACATTATCCAATTGTTGATGGTTTAAAAGATATTTTAAATTTTCGAGAAAACTACATTTTTTTGCCTAAATTTAAATTTTTTTAAAAAATTACTATTTGAGATATCCTTGTCAGAAAATTATAAGGGGGTGCTGTACTCACTTTAATCAATTTTGGGGAAAAATCAAATAACTTTGAAACCATCAATATTATGGTTATTCTGCTTGTAAATAACCTCATTTATCAACTCACTTTTTTTGATCAATAACTTATGGGACACACTACATAAATCGATTTCTTTAAAAGGCGTTTTAGCTTGCTGGTGCTTAGCAAATAGAAAGAGAGCTAATACATGTGAAAGTGCGAAAAGATGATTTGGCAGTTCAACATCCGCGTAGTTCTTCACCTTTTTTCCTCCTGCGCAGATCCAGGTGGCATAAATAATACATTTTTTTTAATGAAATTAGGCACAGCAGTTTCACATACGTTCTTTTTCATTTAATAATGATATGTGATCCACAAAAAAAATAATATGTAATTGACAAAAGCGGATGGTAATTTTTGAAGTAGTTGTGATTAACCAGTTCTTAAGCCCAGGTCAGGAGCAATTACCCGAAGTATTTATCCCCACCTAATTTTAATTAATAAGTACCTCTATCTTAATTATAATTGGATGGGAGTTGAGTATTTAAGTAATTGCTCTTGACCTTGGCTTAGAACTGGCTAATAACAAATACTCTCCGATATGCGTGATTTTTTCCAAGGTTTACATTAGAAAGATTTTTGTGGATCACTAGATAAAACCGACAATGTCGTATTCGTCAATTATACTAATTAGCACTTAAATCTATCATTTATTGAAAATTTGAGTTAATTATTGCAAAATTGGAGATTAATAAATATAATTAGTGAGTAGCTGACGAATATATATCATATATACCTACTAATTAATAGGAATAATTAATGTTCTATTCGGCACAATTAATTCAAATTAAAATTGATTGATGTATGTTAATTATTAAAGAGAACAATAAAAAATACGGACTAAATAAAAACTGTATGTGATACTTCTAGATAATGTTCGAATGATACTAATTTAGTACGCAAGCGTCACGTTTAGTTTAATTAAAATCAGAACAGTTTGAAAAAGTTTCGATTTTAAACCAAATAATAATAAAAATTATAATTTTTCGTGAAATAACTTTTCATATTAGAACAAAAGACATTTTAACTCTTTAATTTATTATTTCATCATACTTATTCCCCTGATTTAGTCGACTGTTAACTTTTTTGTTTCCTATAGTGAAAAAGTCGTAGGAGACGTCTTAGTCTCCTATACTTATAACGATGAACTTCGTATGCTGTCTTTGATACATATATTAAATAAATTAGATGTAAATAAATAAATAAATTTTTAAACGAATCATTAGTGGATCTAAACGGTAAACCCTTTCTTATCATTTATAGGATAAGATTGGGAGAATCTTTTATACATTTAGGTTAACATAGATCCTATGTTAGTACCTAAGTTTAAAATATATTTTTTTTGGTAAAAAAATTATTTAAAATTAAGATACATTTTCAAATCTACATCGAAAAAAATTATTAACTAAACGTGACAGTAATTATAGATTGTGTCTACTTAGATTGAAACCATAGGAAAACATTTTTATTAATAGTATTACTAAAAGAGTTACTATAAACAGTTCTGCATAGTTAAAAACCTAGTATAAAATTATCATTCCCAGTATGACTGACACATTTTGATGTCTGATAAATTTATTATAGATTACAGACCATCCACAACTTTTTTTGTAAAACTGATAATAAAAAGTTTTTCATATGGTTCCATCTTAAGTTCACACACTATATATCAAAGATAGATAAACTATTCAGATCTAATCATTCATGGTGATAATAGCAATGTTAACGTAACGTTAAAGTAACATTTATAGAAATCGGAAGAACCTGTATATGTGAAAGTTTATAAATACTAGTACATTAGGGATTAACCAAAATTTTGGGTGAAAATATTTTTGACATCTGATGAACAAAAAAATATTAATGCGAAAAGTGGAATGAATGCGTCAGTATGTAAAAATTTAAATTTTATTAAATATTCGATCGACCGCTTTTGATTTACAAAGCCAATATCAAAACCATCATCTACTAGATACACCTGCGGGAAATCTTAGATCAAATAAAAACATTTGGAAGTTACGATTATGTAATAATTGGCATTATTATTTAAAAATATAAAGAATGTACCAAAAATTCTGAGAAAGTATTTTTTAATGTTTTAAATTAGAATTCAAAATAAAACACACGTATTGCAATAAAATCAACAATTAGGTTATTAATCTAGTCATTGTACTAGAAAAATCAAGGTAGAACGTTGGCATTCTAACAAGTACAACTGTCACTTAAATTTTGAATTTAAATAGAGAGACTGGACAGAAAGAAAAATACTCGAGAGAGGAATAAGATCGGAAAACTCTCGCCGAAAGGCGAGACTCTCGTTTTCGGGACCCTAAGTCACGAAACACTGTAATGTGAAAGTAAAGTTTTGTGCAGCAATTTGTGAACTATAGGTTTGAGATAATTAATTGATTTACATATAAATGCCAATTTTTTATTTTCGTCCTGAGTATTGTATTTATCATATATATTTTATATTATTATATAGTTAAAGATTTCAGTGCTATTTTTGGTTGCTAATAAGTCTAAACTATATAATTCAATAAAATGTGTATCTAAAACTAGTTGCCAAGAACCGCTCGACTATGCTATTAAGGGATAACTTTTGTTCCTTTTTGTTACTTGTCCCTGGTGAATGGATGTTCATTCTGAATTCCAGGACCCTTTGGCTGGTAACAGTGCTGCCTTAATCCCTTAATAGTATATTAACCACAGTAGCTAAAGATCTATCAGTAGTTACAAATGGTCTTTAGGGTAGTTGGTTGTTACAATTATTATGAATACAAACAAAAAAGAATGGTTCTCGTTAGCAAACATTACATAATTAAACCAAATAATTTAGTGAAAAACCAATAATCCATATCAAAACTGATTATTTATAGTCATGTAATGTAATTTTTAAATATTTTAATTTGGTCTAAGATTTTCTGTGGTGGTTAGTAGACGATGGTTTTGATGATGGCTTTGTTAAACCGAAACCGCTCAGTCGAATATTTAATAAAATATCAATTTTTACACACTGACATATTCATTTTGCTTCTCACCCTATATTTAGTGTGTACACCATTCCCAGTCTTCTTAAATTTAATATTAGTTTTTTAAATTATTTTGAGTTTTTAGTATGTTTACTTTTCCAGATCAGAAGTGCATAATGGAATTATCTATTTATATAACTTATATACAACTTATTTATCCAACTTCATACTTCATACGATCAAAACGAACTGAGTCACATGCACGATTTCAGCTATATCTATCTGTCTATCTGCACATAATATGTTCCTTGGACTTTAACAATGTTTAGAAGTAAAACCTATTAATATTTTTGTAAAAAAATAATATTTAGGGATACTGTAATCGTAATTATATTCATATTTCGACAAATTATTGTTTTGATACATTTCTATCACGTATATTAAATGTTCAACTGAGTGCACAGACTAGAGAATGAAAAATTTAAACTGAAAACCATACTTGGTTTAATAAAAAAGAAATTACGAGATTAAAAGGAAATTATGAGGTAAAAATGGAGAGCCCTCGAAAGTTTTAACAGATCTGCCGTATACTCTACTATATACTACCTATTTGATTTTATTAAAAAATTATTGGACATATTGTCGTATACAATACATATACTAGTGGTCCAGGGACACTACCTTGTGGAACAACTGGTATTCGGAATTCTCTGTAAACTGCATTGTAACCAGCATTTTATTATCATTGATTTTGTAGTTACAGCCATTAGTTAAACCTCATCTAAGAAAGCGGATGTATAGTATTTTTTGCTGTCCAGGAATGGATTTTATTAAGAATGTATTCTTTAAAACAATAGCCTCTCAAGTATTATAGAGTGATAAAATAAATGTTTTTAACGTATGCCATGGAAAAAATTACGTATTTTGAAATTTACAAACAAAAACACATAGTAGTATAATTAACTTGCTTCCACAAATCCTGGAATATTTTAAACAACTTTTTTTCAACAATTTCATCTGTGCATTTAGTTCTACAGTTTTCGAAGGATCTTTCAAAATTAGGCATTCCAAATAAAAGAACGACCACTGGTAAGGTTTGGTATGTCTAAAGGGTTGTGACATACGATGTATTCCATCTACAATACGTGAAATCAAACTTTTTGACAGGCACAAATAACACAATAGTATTTTGAGCTTCGTTGAGCACTTCCTGGATACTCTAGTCTTCATATTAATATACTGTAGGTAGGGAGGTACAGTTCGATTTGCAATAAATAGAAATTGTATCTCTGGTTGCCTAATATTGTGTTTAGAGATACTACACTTTAACACAATAAAAATAAACCTCTGATCGTTTACTTATAAGTAACTCAATTACGCTAAAAAATGAGTTACCTTACAGTCTTCATTGTAGACATAGTGCTAAAATAAACTGTAATTTGCACGATTGGACTTTTTTAGCTGTAAATACACTAGCGATCCTAGCAGATTTTTACCGTTAACAGTTTTAGGCATTTTTTTTGGAAGTTTATAGTTACATCATGGAAAAAATTTACTGAAAATGATATACCGTGTTTTTTTCATTCAATAGTTATTTTGTTAATCGTGGTTATACAATTTTCAAAATCTTAATGGAATTTCGACTCGTCCACTTTGATCTGGATAAGTAAACAAATACTCTTGAATTGAATTTTTGAGTACATAAGAAAAAACATGCAAACCGTTGAATAATCCTATTAGAAATGAACACATCAAAGATGGAGTGCATGAGAAAAACAACAGATAACATAAATGATAGAATAAGCTGTAAATAAATTTCATTACGTTAACAAAACTCAATTATTTCGAAAAAAAAATGCACCTACACAAAAAGACGAACCTCTAGGTCCGCTCAGAACATTCCAGGAACAAATGAAGCACACTTAAGTGAGGCATGAGCGGCAAAAAACGGCCGCTCGATGAATGAACGGCAAAATCGTTGCCGCTTGATATATGAACGGCGAAAAATTCACCGCTTGACGTATGACAGGCTAAAAAATTATCGCCGGAGTTCCAAAAACAAAAACCGCTGTATAGTTTTGGTCAGAGAATGTTTCTTTTGTTATAATTATATGTATTATTAATATAGCTATATACACACAAAGACATCGCTGAGCTGAGGTGTCAACTTAAAACATACCCAATTCGTATCCCATGGCAGTGTTGTATTTGGATTATTCGTTTATTTATAAATTTTAAGAAAATTGCTTTTGGAAACCTTTTGAAAGTGATGAAGTCCCAGATGGTATATAAAAAAATTATAATTATGATTGATCCTTTTCTTTAAATAAATACATACTCCCATGCAGATGCAGATTCTTTTGAAAGTAAAGATCAAGCAGATCAAGAAATATTTGAATTTAAACTGACATCCAGGAGTAGCTTAATAAGAACCAACGATAGATTAAGGGAAATTATTCAGGAATTACATGAAAATTTGATGATCTTTAAACCAATCAGCCAAGACGAGTGTTTTAAAAATGACTTATTTATTAAAATTGAAATAAAATAAGATTAATAAACCAAACATTCATCTACCAAAAATTAAATTACCCTTTGTATGATGGAAGTTACGCTGAATGGTCCTTCTTTAGTGAAATTTTCTCTTCAAAGTTATTAGCTAAACCAAGTTCTTAACAACCCTTAAGAAAATGCAATATCTATAAATGAATATCCGATGAGAAGGAGAATGATCACCACAAGTGTGGAATGTGGATGACATCTTTTTCCACTCAAAAATGTGTATCATGAACTAAAATTAGAAAATAATGGATCTAATTACGGTCTGGTGAAAAGGATACAAGTTTTAATAAAAAAATTAAAATCCTCTATTAGAATAGTAATTACAAACCAGGAATGTCTTCCAAGAAAACAAAATCAAAGGTATCTGGTCAGTCTAGCTTTTTGCATGATGGAGAATATTAGAAGAAAGATGTATGATTTTTATTCATATAACATTGCACTATTTTTTTTATTAAAAATTAAAACAAGCTGATTCCGGTTTTACCATAAAAGTCTAATAATACTACTAGAAGAGTGCTCCATTCTTTGGGTTTAAAGAGTAGAAAGACTATTATGGTATCCCTAAGAAAGTGATTTTACCAATTGATTTTACCTTAGTAGAACAAATCAATATCGTCGGCAAGATGAGACTTGGTGCGACACATGATATTTTGAAGAAGGAATGGAGTGATCAATCTGCTCTGTGAATGATCCTCCAAATAGAAGAATACTTATTATAAAATTAGATAGCAGCAATGAGAACTGTTTTGTGAAAAATTGTTTTATATTATCGACAAAGAAATTTTTTAGTTGTTCAGTTAATTATCACCAAGAGATGACATCATCTAGTTCAAGAAATGGTTTGGAGAACAACTGATTTCAAATTTTCCACCAAATACTGTAAGAGTTGTAACATATCTAGAAATTATACGTTTAACAACACATCTAATTAATTTGGAGCAACATCAAAAGGAGGTCAGAAAGAAAAATGTTACTACTATGGTGCTAAAAGCGTTTTAGGTCGGCATTAGACTGAAAGATATTTTACAAAGATATTTTATGAAAAATACAATAGTGTAATATACAATCTTTTACAATACATATTTGTGTGTTAATGACCCAATTATATTAAAAACAAAAAGAAAGAAAATGTAAAGATATTATCTGGTAAGCTAAATAAATAATGACCCACGATGGACGTCCACTGGACGTTAAAATACTACTAAACTTAAAATTAAGTCCTAAAACATACATCTGTTGGGTACCGATATGCAGCTGTCAAATTAATTTTCATAAAAGGATGTACACTGGACGCCTGAATATGACTATGGACATTCTGACCTTCAAATGGATTTAAAATGGATGTCCATTCGACTATTAAGGTTATATGGGCATTGAATAAACATAAATAGAGCATACTAAATTTGTAAGATCCTTCGTTCATTGTTAACTTTTCGAGTACGGTACGCCTTAAACGTAGTGATGTGGGTTTGGTAAATACCCAGCGGGAAAGGTATTTATAAATTGGGTAAATTACCCAAAACTAGGGTACTTTACAGTTTGCAGTGTAAAAACAAAAAGCACTAGATTTACCATACCAAATATCGTTCGATAGTACTAGAAAAAGTACAATTGTATTAGATCTAACCTCACTGTCTACCATCTACCACTACCATACCATCCATAACCTAACTTTTAGTTGGAGTTTTAGTCTGTGGCAACAGTTATTTATCTTTTAACAGCTTTTAATAGAATAATTTAAAAGAAAAAAGAGTGCAACTTGCCAATTTTTCTAGGGGAAAGGCAACAGTGGTGTGTGTAAATACTCTAATCTTGAATACAAACATTCAAATGTAAATAAAATGACGAAACATATAAAGAAGTGCTTTAAATGTCCTGAATAAATGAAGAAAATTCTTTATTTAGTGCCAACCACTGTATCTACTAAAGTAGACCTATCAATGTCTGTGTCCACCCCGAAGAAAAAACTAAATGTACCCAACAGGGCCAACAGCTAAAGGAGTTAGAAGTACTGAAAAGTTTTTGGTAATCATTGGGGATAATGAGAGCTGCTTTGGCGTTGGTAAAGGAGAAGTATCCATCAATCATACCTCTTGGTTGCCTTGCTCATCTCTTACACCTTCTGTGTGAAGAAATCTTAAAGTACAATTCTTTTATGGCAACTGTTACTAGCATAGTAAAAACTATTAAGAACAGCCATGTCCTAAAAGCATTATTTGGCAGGTTTCAATTGGAAAAAAGTCAAAAGACAAGAGTTTCTTTGAAACTGCCTGGTCAAACAAGATGGGGAAGCAACTTGTTTTGTTTACAGAGTTTATTATCAAATAAATATGCGCTTCAAAAACTAGCTGTCAGTGAAGAAGCAGAAATCTCATCAGAAATGAAAAGACAGATACTTAATGACGGTGTGTTTTGGGTCAGAGTAGAAAAAATGGTAAATCCAATTGTTGAGCTTATCTTTGCCCTTGAATCAAACACCCCCCTGATTCATAATGTTTATACAAAGTTTTACAATAAATGCCAGAATTTACACTTCACATAGTTCAGATGAAATCTACAAGCTTCAACAGCTTTTGCAAAAAAAAATTTTGGTTATAGACATCACAGAAAACAGGGGTGGTGATAGAAAAAGCACTTGTCTGAGGTTAAGAAAAATTCTGTTAGACAATACATTGGTTCCCTACCTGCTTATGCATAGAAACAAATCTAAGAGAGTATACCTTAGATGTGATCTGAATATCAAGAAACTTCATAAAGCATACAATTCCATGACTGAAAACAATTTGCGTGGCTCTTGCAATGTTTTGACGTGTCTTCAACAAGGACTTTAATATTAGATTCAAGAGTCCAGCAACTGACGTGTGTAGTTACTGGGGAAAGACTAGAAACCTCGTAAAAAATGCTATTGGTGAAGCCAAAGTTAACTTGTTACAACTCAGAATTCATAAAAGAAGAGCTCAAGCTTATATGAACTCATGAAAGAAGAACATAAAGGAGACATTATTTACTGCTTTGACATGCAACAAGTGCAGCAGTTACCCAAAACTCCTATTCAAGAAGCATTTTATGCTCGGCAACTTTCATTCTATAATCTATATATTACAGATGTAAAAAATGCTAACCCAATCTTCTACACTTGGACTGAAAAGCAAGTTGGGAGAGGGTCAACTGAAGTTTCTTCAGCTCTCCTGAACTTCTTGGAAACATGTGATTTTAATAGACAAAAGGTATTAAAGCTCTTCTGTGATGGATGCGGAGGACAAAACAAAAACAACATTGTTATCCACACATTAATGTATTTCCTTCCAATCCACCATAAAAAATTAAGTTAAACAAAAAATATGATAAAATGTTTTCAATGGTTGTTAAAAATAATATCTATGACATCTAAATTAATGAAATAAAGCAATTTTCACCTTCATTTTTATCTTAGTTAGATCAGAATCAACTATTTATGTCACCTGGAAAATCCTTTTAAGGTGACTAGTTCGCATTTGAAAGTTAGTTCCTCAATTGTGGTCAGGGTTTGAAGGACGTTTTATTTTTATTAATGCTTATCGGATATCGGCACTTCTTTCCACTATTTAGCAAAGTTTTATATGGCTGGGTTTCTTACATTAATCATTATTATACATCTAGAAATTATCTACAAATACTTGCATACATTTTGGTTGCTGTTGATAAAGATATTATGATATATCAGAACTCGAAAATATTTGACTATTGATTTTACTTTCTTACTTATGTTTTTGTATGAATATTGAAGTTTAATTTCTGATACAATGTGATACCTATAGAAAATAATAAATATCTCTGACCAAAACTAACGAGCGACAAAAATATCGCTGCTAACGACGCGAGCGGGAAGAATTTGCCGCTCTCAACCCTCACTCTACAGGTATCTAGATTGGAATCTCGCTATCCAGTGCGATAGTGTCGCTCCAGGTAAGTGAATTAAACGAAAGAAAAAATGGAGTAGCTGTCGCGTCGAATATCGCAATCGTTAACGAGATCAAAGAGCCTGACGCTTACGGTTCGTGTCTAAACTTGTCCCAGGAATTATGAAAACGCTCTCATAGTCACGGTACGATTCGGTTTCAACCGTCCTATAAGAACACAGTTTTGGTTGAATTTTTATATACCTAAGTCCTAAACGGTTTTAGAAATGTGTTAAATGACAGGTGTACAATATTGATGTGATCGAAATCAGGATAAAATTATATTAAAACTTTGTATGTATAATGAATTTTAAATTAATAACTCATAGTTGCTATTTTTGTTAACTGTTATTTGGTAGTTATTAATTTTTGTAAAAAAAACCGCGCCCACCTCCATCTCTTATGGAAAAGTAGTGACATGTCAAATCCATATAGGGTGATAAACAAAATAAACTTATTTGCCACTGGTTACTACAGGAAAAAGCTAATCGATTGTAATTTTTTTGTGGCTAATCTTATTGTAACATCTTTTGGCACTCCACGAATATGAAAAGGGGCAAAAATTATCTCCTTGCACAGTTTAAGTTGCAAATAAGTAAGAACATGTTTCTGATCACTATCTTTATTCGTCTAGTGGGTCAATTACTTTAATTTCTTAATGCATAGTTTGTGGATCATAACGTCAATGGCCTTAAATAAAAAGGGTGCCAATTATTTGAAAACATGAAACATTTTGTTCTCATTATTAAAATAATAATAAAAAAGGTTTTAGTTCATTTTTGAATAATTATAGCTTTAACTTTTGCAAGTAAAGAGCTAAAATAAAAGTAAATATCGAATTAAATTATCGGCACCATATAACTTCATGACCAGTATCGCTTCTGCACAAAGTACCTATTTGAATGAACAAGAAATAAAAGAAAACGCTTAATTTTGTGATATTCTTCATTAATAATAAAGATATTTACAGTCAAAGTATGTGTAATAAAGTTGATAAAAGTACATTTACTGAGAATACAAGTCAATTCGTTTTCAAAGATTTATGTGGAAGATTTAACAAAATTTATTAAGGAAACACTTTTTCACATAAATATGTGGACTGAAACATTATGATTATGATTAATTACATACAAAATCTTCCAACCACAGGATCTTTAATAGATTAAAAAAAAATCGATTAACGATCCTGTCGTTGACAGACCTTGTGTTTTTCTCAATTCTATTTAATCTACTTCACACCACTTTGAGATATGGATAATATTTGGAAATTATAAGAAGAGTTTTAGCCACAGTGTCCTCAAAATTATTATTGTTTATTATATCCTGATTTCGACCACAACAAACTTGTGCGTTTATAGACAAGTTACATTAATTTGTAAGTTATTTTATAAAATTTAGTATACATTGAATTATACTGACATTTATTAAGAGAAATATTAAAAGAACTCACTTTTTCAAAGGCACTTGACTCTCAGTGGCATTAGATCCATTTCTGGTATCGGTTATGCGACAGGCTACCATATTGTAAGCTGAAAAATACAATAAAATATTAAGAGAATCCTTTTTAAAAGTATATTAAACAAACATGTCACTTTACCCATGCAAAGGCATAGTGGTCGTAGATAAAGTTATTGAAAGTTTAGTAGATCAAACATGTTTTTAAATATTTGAGTATGTTTAGTTTCATGTCGTTCGAATTCTTTGTCCACAGGTTCTTGGTATTTTATTTTCGTTTCTGGTGTCCATTCAGTGTTTTCCTATATATATTTCATACATTTCCAAACAAGGAAAGAAAACACAAAGTCATTTAATGCAAAGACTTTTATTAGATCAAAGGAGCCAGTGGGAGTCATCATCAGATTTATCAATCAAGAATAAATATATATAACGGTTCTTCACTTTCAATCTCAAGCTATTTACAATCACCTCCAATGTCACTTATGTCATATATGTATACCTACCTACAGTAAAAGTGCACCCTATGGAACATCTGATGATGATGATGATGACGATATGGAATTCTTGAGAGAAGAGTTGTCAGATGGTGTAATCACCAAAGGACCTGCCATTGTAAGAATGTGGGAGACAGCAAAAATTATGAAAGATAAACAATGGGGATACTGAAAAAAACTGGTTTACCTAGAGCTAGCTCCAGTAAAAGCTGCCAAGATAGTCCTCCTACCAGGTAGAAGGACAGTCAGAATCATCACTATTAGAATCGACGACACCCAAAAAATAGTAACTAGGAATAAGAATTGCGACATATAAACATATCGATGTACATCAAAGAAGCAGACAAGACTGCTCCAGAACTGAGTAGAATTATATCAAATTAAGGATTTAAAGAGAGTAAAAGGATGATTCTTTTAATATAATATGGCCAATGATGATAGGGGCCACAAAGAAATGCCAGCGCCAAGTATAGTTAGTTCATGTCGCACAGTGTCAACTAAAGTAATACAATTGATAGCAGGTGCAATTCCTAAACATCTGCTGGGTCTAGAAAGAAAAAATGAAAGAGATGAAAAAAGGGCAAATAGAAAAAAATGGCAAAAGAAAATACGATGCAAAGGAAGAATGGGATGAGGAAGTAACTACTGATCAGTGGACTAAACGGCTCATACCGTGAATAAACCCTTGCATCGAGAGAACTCGCATAAAGAGGTAGGATACTATAAAGGCATGGAAGATTCAATACTACCTGTTGCATTAAATTACTATTTATAACAAAAAAAAAAAAAATAATATCCAATACAAACTGTGAGTACGGCCCTAAATGGGGCTCGCTTAACTAATAAACTGCTTCAATCGGTGCTGGTTTGACATTTTTCCAGATAATGAAAATCCATATTTATATACACATTATATTTTATTACGATGAATAGGTCCTGTTTATACTTATTTATAACATTAGTAACGATGAACACTATTGACTGGGTAATAAATAATATAATATCCTTAAATCTAAGGCACAGCACGACATTTATGACAGTTACCGGTATAGAATACCTGCCAGTTAGTTTCAAGACTTACTGGACCTCCTAGGTAGCTTTCCTAAATTTTTTTACCAATATTAAAAAAAAAAACAGTACTTACCTTTCTCTTGTTTCCGCCGTTTTCGTTTATTGCATATTTTGACCGCGCATACGGACAGAGTGATGGCGACTATGAAGAAGAGGAATCCGCCCACCACGCCGGCAGTAAGCGCTTTGTGCTTGACTCGAGCAGGCACCGAATACTTGACTTCTTCACCGGTTTCGAAGCTCTTTCCGGAATACGCGAGAATTCGAAAGTAATAAGTACGACCGCCTACGAGGTTCTTAACTGGAATAGAAATTAAAAAATGATCAGATTCGTTTTGCCCTGCAGGATGCACCATGGACATAAAGCGTAAGTGAATTTGAGCTGAGTTCGACAAAAAACGCACCGACGAATGTGCTTCCCGACATAATCGCATACGACATATGCTCTCGACAAAAATAATGTCAGATGCAGATTTTATAAGTGTCAAAGTTGGGTAGGGTAAAGTCGTTAAGTTTTTTTTTATTTTTCCTATTTTATGTATATTTTTTTTGGCACCTAGGTAATTTATTTAAGTTTTTTTTTTATTTTTCTCATTTTATGTATACTTTTTACGAAACAATCTCCGATGGTTTCAGGCCACGCAAGTTAGGTAAATCAGTTAGATTTTTTTTTATTAAAAAATGAAGAAAATATTTCTATTATCTTTAATATATTTTACATTTAGATTTAACAACCTGAGTTCTTGTGTGGGATTAGAGCACGCCCACGTACAACTGAAAAAAAGTCTACCAGTAATCAATTAACAAAAAAAAAATTATTAAGAAAATAATTTTTTTTATTGTTGTTGGGGCGCATATGTCGGGAAGAGCATTTGTTGGGAAGGGAATTTGTCGGAAGGGCATTTGTCGGGAGGCATATTTGTCGAGAAGCGCAACTGTCGGTTAACCTCCACAAATTCCAGAAACAGAAATTTACCACACTAGTAAACAGTATGAGCAGAGTAAAAAGTTACCAATTTTACGGTCTTCCTGAAAAATTTATTATTGCTAATGCCCTTATGTCTCTAGTGGTTAGATAAAAACCTTCACTTGCCTAAATAATGAGTATCTTCGGGTCTAATTTGAACTTTGTTCAAGGTTTTCCAGGGTCCATCAGTTCTGTATTTGATCACATAGTGTTGAATTAGCTCCGCCCTATCCATTGGTGGCTCCCAGGTGATGAGGAAACCGCTATCGATCTCGTTCACTGTCAGGTTTCGGGGTACTCCTGGTTTTGGTCCTGGTAAATTATTTAATTTAATGCGGATTTCCATGCACATGTATACAACATTGATAGTTGACAAAAATATGATTTTATACTACTCTGTAATATGGAGTGTAGATGAAAGGAGGACAATCTTATATGGTTGTTTATATCAAAAAGTGTCAACCAAAATGTATAAATTTATGATGGCTCTCGTGTACTAGAAGGAAAAAATCCAATGGTATGTAATCATATAGATTGCTTATCCATATGTAAATCAGGCGACGAAAAGCAAGGCGCCACTAAAAGGCATATTATTGCACGCAGGTAACCAGCAAAGTAGTTTTGCGAATGGCATTGCCAGGGATGCATTAACATTGGGCAAAACAAGTCGTCGAACTCAAATAGAAAAATGCAGCAAAATTACTTTCCAGCACAAAGACAAAAGTAAGTTTTGCCTATAGCTTTTTTATATGGTTTTATTTAAGTATTGTATCTTTTGTTTATTATGTTTGTTTATGTATTTTGAAAAAACCCACAACCCTAGTTTCTCACAATTTCTTCTTACTAGGTATAATCGAAATTGCGAATTTTTTACATTAAATCGTGTTAAGTATCAATTTTGTTTTTCTTTTTCTTATATACACTAGGGCAGTGTTACTCAAAGTGTGCTTCGCAAAGCCTTTTTGGGGGCTTTGCGAAGAAAATAATAGTCATAATAAAAAAAAGATGCAGTACTATCGCCACAAAAGGGAGGGGCCCCTGGTTGAAGGTCTTTTTTTTAGAAGTCACTAAGAGGAAGGAGGATATGATTTTGCTTGAGGATCTTTTTATTTGCTTTTCAAAAAGGTTCCGTCGCCAAAAAAGTTTATGAAACACTGCACTACGGTGACCATATGTACAGTATTTCGCAAGATTTAATACACAATTTACCAGGAGGAGATAGGACCCCTCAGACTGGCGCAGGAAGTCAATTGAAATGGAGTCGCGCTGGTCAGGCAAAAAAAAAGGAAAACAGGAATTTTTTGCATTTCTTATTAATAATGTGACGAAAGTCTAATTTATTTTTAGTTTATTTATTTAAAAATACACTATTTACAATTTATTTATATAATGCTTAGACACTAACTAACAATTCTAATTTATTTCTTACACTTTAACTTTTCATTACAATGTTCTATATTCAACTGTATATAATCAACTAAACTTGGCGCTGATAAGTTGGCTATTTATATTAGTCCAACTCCGCTACTGAAAGACGTTAGAAGCTCTCGAACATTCCAATTCTATGACTAAACTGCACTTCCCACCGTTTCGGCTGTTTCTAGTGCATCAGCGGCAGGCATTCCGTCGTTTCTTGTATATTCGAGACGCGGTCCGATTGTTTTCACACGTCAGCGTTGCTTCGATCACGAGTCGGTTGCCATGTGAAGGTTGCGCGCGTACACAGGGTAGGCTCTAAGAATTTCACGACAATAACTTAATCACAAATTATTGTTACAATAGATTAGATTTAATTAGGGCCGTGGACCATGTGGCCTCCCCTGCCCTAGACCTTTTCAGACCTATTGTGGATATCCTTTAATCGTGGATGGAGTACCTTGTCTAGTTCGATCTTTTGTAGAAGACTCCATAGGATTAGGAAATAGTTCTCCGGCGTAGCTAGTTGCCTTTGGTTTTTCTTCTACAAGTGTAAGAAATCTCAGTTTTGATGGACCACAATATGTGTTCTGCAGTTACCTCCTTTTCCTGACAAAATCACAATAAGGTCTCTGCTGTCAGACCGATATTATATACATATGTTTGTTAGGCCTACAATGACCTGCTAATAGACCTACTAGTACTCTATTTTTCCAATTATGGTTTAGTAGATACTCGATGAGTTTAGGTGATGGATCAATTAAGAACTCTTTGGCTAATCTCTGTCCTAGAGAATTTTTCCACCATTCTTGAGATTTTTTAAACATCCACTGCTTTGTGCATGTTTTGATAGCTGTCTTTGTGACAACACAGAAGGGTTCTGGGCTAATAAGAACCTTTGAGGCTCCTTCTAGGGCTAGTAAATCAGCCTCTTTGTTGCCCTTATGTCATATTACCCAGACTGAGGTCAGTCTGTTTTGACTACCCAGCTCTGTTAGGGCTTTCAAACAGTCCCACAGAAGCTTTAATTAAGTGTACCTGTATAGAACTGAGTGCTTTTAATGTCGCTTGACTGTCTGATTATATGACAATAGTTTTTCTATTTACTATGTCTTAAAATCTCTTTTGCGTAGTGATGTATTGCTGCTATTTCTGCCTGGAATACTGTCGTATGTTTACCAAAGCTCAGTGAGATTCTTGTCTTTAGCTTAGTTCTATATATACGTACTCCTGAACCTTCATGGGTTTTGGAGCCATCTGTATACCAGGTGAATTCTACGTGAATGGAAGGTCCTCCCGTCCGCGCTTCCTGGTATACTTATTTTATATTGCTTTGAAAGCTATACTTTGGGAACATTTCGTCTGAATGCATTTCCAATATTTGGGCGTTCTCCAGCTCTTTATATAGCTTGCTGTAGTTACGTCCATGCAAACTGCTTATGGGTTATGTACCTTTGTGTACTCTGTATGTGACAGATCTGGTTTTGCCTTGAATAAATATGTGTAGTGGTGTTAGATTTAGCATGACTTCCAGAGCTGCTGTTGGAGACGTTCTCATGGCTGCCAAATAACTCTAGCTTTCCGAAGTATTTGGCCACCATACCACCGATCCCTAGATTATCATAGGCCTTATGACTGGTATATAGGCATAGGGACATTTTCGGTTATAGTCCCCAATTTTTTACACACAACCTTCGATATAAGTTAAAGGATGTTGTGTTCTTTTGAGTAACTTTTTGCGAGTATTGATTCCATGTTAACCTGTGGTGAAAGATGTCTCCCAAGTATTTGGCATCTTGAGCAAATTGAATTTTCATTCCTTATTTAGTTCTGTCAGTATTTTTGGTTTTGTGAAGTTCACTATTGTGGTTTTGAGAGAGTTTACTGTTAGATCTTCCTCTCTGCACCACTCGTAAACGATGTTTAGAGCAGTTTGTATGTGTTTTCCGATATTGTACCTGCGAACTCACCTCTTACGACGATTGTCAGGTCATCGGCATAACCTAGGCAGTAGAATTCTGCAGATATCAGCTATGAGTTCGTCCACTAGCATTGACCAAAGGAAGGGCGATAGTACTCCTCCCTGGGGGAAGTCACTGCCTGTTACAATAACTCAAATAGATAAAAAAAAAATATGAAAAAAAGCGCGGAGGTGCCTACTGGCACCTGTGGGACCGGCGCGCAGTGAGCCCATCCGCCCCTGTAATTTACTGAAACGTAACGAAACAAAAACGTAATGCATGACTTTCTCAATCTCACTGTACATACCATAACTTTGAAAAACGACAACGACTGCGGCATGTCTTTTTTATTTTTTTAAATTTTGCAACCACTTAAGCAGCTTTTGATTGCACACGTCCCCACCATTTTATTATAATAATCGTTTATGTTATTATATTACAATAAAATTTGACTATTGTCGTCTATTGTCATATTTTCTCTACGATTATTCACTTTTCTAGGTGTAGTTTTTAGTTTTTTCTTTATATCTTCTTATTTACAAATGGGTAAGCAATACATATATCATTGGATTTTTCCCTTCTGGTATAGAACCTCCATCTTAATTTTATATATTTTGAGAGATACTTTTTGTATACAGAAATAGTTCTCCTTACCTTTACACTACATACTCTGTACCTATATTTATCACGAAGATGGTTTTTTGGACCTTGGTAGTCGATCTAAGAAGCCTGGTATAAAATTAAAGATAATGTAATGGTTCTTAACTAGAACAGGTCAGGAATTAGGAAGAGATTTCTAGAAGAATTAGCTGAAATGCAGAGAGTAACACAATCGGGAAAAATAAGAATTAGTGCAATATCAAAAACACAATTAGATAAGTTCTTGACTAACATTTTGAAGCAAAACAAGAAATCTGCTTCGATAAAGAAATGGAAGATCATTTAAAAATAACGTTTGGACGTGTTAGGAAGAGGTATAAGTTACGAAAGATAATGATAGTGTTTTATAATAATGTATGTCTGTTAAAGAACGCACAAAAATGTTGAGACGTAAAAAGTATCATAACTAGCAACTTTGTTTAGAGCAGGGACAGAAGTTCGAAAGGCTTTTGGTAGATAGAGCGGTGGCAAATGTCAAACCCAATCGTTTCGTAGAATAAAAATAATACCAAACATTTTAAATTAGTATTGGTGGAATCGGGCAAACGTATCTATTTATGGGCTACAAATAAAAAACTATTTAAACGAGTAATAATATCCCAAATCATAATTCTACAAAATTTAAACAGATTTAAATAGATATAGAATATTCTACGCCAATGTTTAGCGTTCACTTCGGTTAGCTCGATGGCAAAACTGTCAAATCCTGTGTATAAAGTGGGAAAACTGGCAAAAGATATTCCAACTTCTAGGCTACTATGGTAATGTTTTTTTAAAGAAACACTTTGTTTTTAGCTTGAATACCGGGTGATTCCAAAGTTAATAAACATTTTTTTCTAAAATCTCATAAATATTCCACTAAAATAAATATACTAAAATAAAACGCAGATCTGATCGAAACAACGATTTATAATCAACAAAAATCATTTTCTAACAAAAACCCCAAAAGAATCATTCTGTGATTCACCCGTTTACATACTTTGAACATTACATAACTCCTATTGCTATCGGCAATCAGCGTCATATACAGGTCGAACATTTCTTAAACTTAAAGATCACCTACAAGGAAAAATAAAAAACGCAAATACGGATCTATCATTAGTCGCGAAGTTTGGACATTACTTTTCCAAATGGACCAATTGCGCAACCACTGAGGTAACCAGACACATATCCTTGTAATTTTTTTGTTTTTAATTTAAAAACGTGGTTATTTTAAAGTTGATACTTCTTTTTATTTTATAAAAGTCATTAAAATTCACAATTTGGTGGCTAGTTTATATTTGGTAATAAAAAATAGTGTTCAATATGTACTTTTATTATACTACAAGCCTTTGGGTTTTAGAATTCACGGTATATATAGACAGTTCCAGTGGAAACAATAAAATAAAATATGATTAAACTACATGAAAGTGTTTCTTTAAAATCATTATTATTCTACAAAAACATTGACATGCACATGTTTTAGTAGTTAACTCAATAATCTGACGCAATATTCTTACCCGCATCATCGTTTGGAGTCATAAAGGGTGTAGGGGTTATTTTTATGGGTTTTTGTTGTCCAACTTCTATCCGTTAGCAAACAAAAGAAAAAGATGGTTAGTAAAAGTTAGTGCTATGTGGGTAAAAAGTTAAAACACTGCTACGAAATTATTATCCACGGTTATTTAAATTTTCTCTATCAAACATGGTTATAAAACTAAATTTTGTCATACTACTACTTATAAGTTCGATGTAAGTTGCTTTTGGAACCAAATTAGTACACTTCCTCAAAACCTAGCTTTGGTACCATCGTTCTTCCTATTTTCTTATATCCATATAAGTATTCAGACCATGAACTTCCAGCTCCACCAGAAGTCAAATTATATTTATTTATCAAAAATACAAATACAATTTGCATACACACAAATATTTTTGGTGCTACATCCCATGTCGGCTTAAAAGATGACAAATTTTACTAAAAAATTGCAAATTAGCCTCAAAAATAGCTTATCCGGCTCATAAAATATTTCCCATTTTCAAAAAAAAAAAAAAAAAAGAAAAAAAAAAAAGAAAAAAAAATAATATTGGCTCAGGTACAATGAATAATTTGACGGCAAAATTACTAAGATAGCCAAAACATTACTAATTTGGCTCAAAAATGTCTCTCTATTTGTCAAAAAACAATTTTTGTTCAAAAAATGGCAATTTCGGCTCAAAAAATGCATTGTGTTCAAAAAATTGCAAATTCTGTAGGCTTAAAAGATGACAAATTTTACTAAAAAATTGCAAAAATGCAATGAATAATTTGATGCAAAAATGACCAAAATGACAAAAAAAATGTTAATTTGATGCAAAAATTACCAAAATGACAAAAAAATGTTAATTTGTCCCAAAAATGACTCTCTTTATCAAAGAACCATTTTGGCTCACAAACTCAGCAAATTCAACTCAAAAATGGCATATCTCAAAAGCCAAAAAATTTTATTCAAAAATTGGATTTTCTTCATCCATATTTTTTACCTAAATTTTTTCATCAACTATTAAAAAATTTGGCTCAAACATTTTTCTCCGTCCTATTTTTTTTTTTTTGGACTTTGATGACCCAAGGATTAAGTTAAAACTTCCAGTTTCTAGCATTCAACAAAACTTTCAGCCTCCCTTCTTATTTCATCCTGATACCATAATGGCAAAATGTGTGTTCAAAATATGTCAAATCTAGCATTTGACTCAACAAAATAGCAAAATGTATGTTCAAAATATGCCAAATCTAGCATTTAAGAAAAATCTCAACCTCCCTTCTTATTTCATCCTGATACCATAACCTTTGGCTGAAAAATGGTAAATTTGGCCCAACAAAATGGAAAAATTTATGTTTAAAATATGTCAAATCTAGCATTTGACTCAACAAAATGGCAAAGTTCAAAATATGCCAAATCTAGCATTTGACTCAACAAAATGGCAAAGTTCAAAATATGCCAAATCTAACATTTAACTAAACTCTCAGCTTCCTTTCTTATTTCATCCTGATACCATAACCTTTGGCTGAAAAATGGAAAATTTGGCTCAATAAAATATCAAAATGTTTGTTCAAAATATGCTAGGTTTTGGTCAAAGACCGCAATTCAGCATCTTTTCAATCAACATTTTTTTATTCAACATTTTTTCCAACCATCATTACTTTCATCCATATTTTTGTTGGACTTTGATAACCCCAGGCTAGATTAGAACTTCCAGTTTCTTACATTAAACAAAAATCTCAGCCTATTTTCTTATTGTATCCTCACACCATAACCATGGTTCGTTATCCAGTCTCTGAAAAATACTGCCCGTGGTAATCGAGTACATAAACTACAAGGAACGATAGATAAAGTTGGATTTAATAAAGCAAAAATAACTCAATTCTATGTTTAAGGGAAAACAGGTTATATATACCGGTCAAAAACTAATCAAATCAATAAAAAACTTACCGATGGTTCTAACAGTGATGATCTTGCTCATCATACCATCTCCTAAAGCATTTTTTCCGATCACTTGGAATTCGTAAGTAGTTCCAGGAGCTAAACGGTTTATAGTAACCTGAGTACTACCCGATGGTGTTACGGGAATTGTTGCCCACTCCGTTTGTCCTGCTTCCCGGTACCAAAGTGTATAGTCTTGTTTATAATCAGGACCACCGCTGTAGCCCGGCAACCAGCTAAGCGTCGCGGAAAATTCCGTGGAAGTGCCTGTTAGATTGTAGGGAGCGTGGGGTTGTGTACCTGAAAAAATATTCCTAATTAGGTTTAAATGCAATAATGGTTGGTAAATAAGTAAACTAAAATAAGAGGTTTTCAAAAGTTTTCCAATTTTTTTTTTAATTTATTACACAAGGGTTAATATACATGTTCCACTTGGAACATTAATATAGTGGTTATGTGTATTGTTGTACCTGGCCAAATTATCATCCTGTATTATTCTAAAAATGGAACCAGTATAGCAAAGGTGGGTATTAAAATATTAGACATAAGGTAAGACTACTGTATCATATGATTATAGTAAAAGCAGGTGCTGTGAATTCAAATGTGAAAGAGCTTCAAGTGAAAACTTTTATGATTTCTAATTAAATAAAAGAAAGTTATAATCTAAATAGAATAAATTCTGGATTTGTGTAAAGCGGTTCAGAAACGGAGAAGTTATTCTGCTCGAAGTGAGCCTAACGAGAAACAAATATGTTCTAATTATCAATGGAACAAGCGTGGGTAGTCTGAAGAAAACTATCTTGGCGTTACTCGGCTTTGGATGTGATTATATGAGCGACCAAGATCAAGCATGTGGAAAAATCCTATTGAGAGACGTAAATAGCGTGAACGAAAGTTGGCATGATGTTTTTAGTTACGTAATACACACCTGCATGCGCTGAAGTGCGACTGGAAGCTTGGCCTATGTGACATCATGTTTGTTTGAAAATAAAATTTAATAGGTATATTATTTGGTGAATGTTCTGAGGCATAATAAATAGATATGTTATATGTACAGGTCCTTTTTATGGGCCAAACTGGTTTAGAAATAATATATTAAATTACTTGTTGTAGTGTTATTTTAACAATAATTTCAACACAATTAATTGCACCTACATAGGTAATAAAACTGTTTTCAGTTGAGGGTCTTCAAATGTGTAGTAATTCCTCCAAATTGCGAGGCGCATTTTTTAAGTAAGTACCGATTTGAAAATTCCGTCGTTGCAGCGCTGCGGTCGGCTTTTCCCGCATGCGCGCTGTGTATCTACATTTATTGGCAAGGCTGAGATGCTATACCATTACGGCAACAATTGCCCTTGATTACATGTTATTAAGTAATTAAAATAGCATAGCCGATCGAGAGTCCCGCCGACTGTGAAGTTCGTTCTGTTCAGTGTTGCCAGGCCCTATCAACCGAAAATCGGTAGAATTATCGAGAAAAATCGGTAGATCTCAGCAAAAAACGGTAGATTTCAAAAATCAAATGAAATTTGTAAGTGTAAAAGTAAACCTACTTCAATTATTCAATTACTTCGTCTTCTAAAAAAAAGTCCTCGGTCGGAAAAGTCTATATATATATATATAGCTTGTTGAACTTCTAACTTTACATTTTTTTATAGTATTTCAAAGCTAAAACGTAAAATACACTCTTTTATTTTAAAAATCGGTAGATTGCCTAAAAAATCGGTATATCGGTAGATTTTTATAGATTAATATCAAAATCGGTAGATCTACCGATTAATCGGTAGCAATGGCATCACTTCTGTTATTATTATTGATATTCATCGTGAGATTTGTGTAGTTTACGGACAAAACATTAAGAACGATGGAATGGTGCGTTCGACCATTTACAGAGGGCCGCACAAATGTGCATGATGACGAACGGAGTAGGCGACAGTTATTACTAACGATTTGGTGCAGAAAGTTAACCAAACAGTGAGAAAAACAGACGGTACTTACTTAAAGTTATAACGTTTACAACTAATGTACCCAAAACTATTTTGGTATACAGTATCGGCTACTGAATGATTTCCAATACGCTTTAGCGAGCAGGAAACGAATATCAACGTAGCCAGCTGACCACGTGGGTATATCTCTCGATGTGTGCCTAAACACTTCGACCACCCCATACGGATATCGTTGATATTACTCGTTTCCTACTCGCGCTAACGCTAACTCCTTGTACTTTTTACTCTGATATTAGGAATGCCTATTGAAAAGTATTCAATAGCCGTCACTGTATAATATATGCCTAAGACAGTGTTGTAAAATAAGATTTTTCGTTCTTGTATTAAAGTCACGAGTAGGTACAGATGTTATTTTTGAAATACACCTATATTTTTATGTATTACAGGTATTATTCCGGTCAAGATATAAGAGAATAATGGTTTAAAGATAAGTAAGTACTTCTTTACACTAAAAAGAAATTATTCAAGTCTGCATTATAGATATCTAAATTTCAGTACAAAATGAAAAATGAATGAAAAATCTGTAATTCTCAGTAAAAAGTAGGTACGTATTTATTTATACCACTAAAAAAAAAACAACTTTTTTCTAAATAGGCATATTCTTATCACACTTTCTTTTGAGGTGACTATTTTATTAAATACGCTCACTGTATTAAAATTTAATAAACCAGTCCACGTTAATTACCAGACTTGATATATCAGTAAGCCGGCACCCTTTTTTGAATTTTTCTAAATTGTAAAATTGTATATTAATTTCAATCAGAAGTATATTTGTATTCTGCAAGGTTCAAGTTGAAAGGTTTGCATATTGGGTACCCATACAGCACATTATTTCAGAAATGTTTCAAACATATAACATTTCAAGTTTCTGAAATATTTCTGAACTAATTTAGTTAAATATTTCACTGAAAATGTTTCTGAAACATAGTATAAGTTACATAAAAATTTACTAAACGGGTTATATTTTAAAAGGCCAACAATTAATGAAGAATTTCTGATTTTTAAGCAGAAGATGGGATATGTAGTTATTTTATTTTATCATGTCCCTGTCCAAGTGTAACTTATAGAAGTTTTAAATACAAACATAATCGCTAAGGATCATATCTTCGACGAAATAGGCAAGAAAAATTATCATAAAGTATTAAGATTACCCCTTTACTACTGTGTTTTGAACCCGATTGAACTATTATGGGCCCAACATAAAAAACAAGTAAAAATAAATAATACTCCACCAAAAAATTCCAACAGCGTTGTAAAACTTATAATGAAAGAGTTCTCAAATATTACCTCTAAGAACTGGAAAAATGCTTTAAACCATGTAATAAAGGTTGAAAACAAATATATGCGACACGTACCAGTTTTAAAAAGACTTGTAATTAATGTAAGCGACGATGAATCTGATGGGGAAGGTGACGAGGGTGATGGTAGTGATTTAGATTAGTTTTACATACATAATTTTTCTATTAACTTTTAAGAATTCATAAATAAAAAATTAAATCAGTAAATCCTTCTTTTGATTTTAAATTATATTTTCTTGTTAAGTACAACTCTGTACAGAGGTATCAATATCAGCAGGCAAAACAAATAATGATTTTAACTGGCAAACAATTTTACACTATATCTTGACCCGTATAATAATCGTTTAGAGGCAATATTTTTATTTGAAAAGATAAAAAAAATAAATAAGAAATTGGTTTAATACCTTTCTAATGGAATTTTCAAAACTTCATTTACCCATATCCTTACAAACAACACCCTTATTTTTTCAAATTGTATTAGTAGTATATGTTTTTATCGAAATAATATCATACTTAATAAGTTTCATGAATTTAAACCATAGACGTAGCGATTATTTTTTTAATAAAACATACAAAGGGTGAAATATTAAGATTGTGATGTTTTTAATATGTTTGTTTTTATATACTGACAATTTTATTATTTTATCATATTATTTTGTAATTTTGTTAAATTGATGTTTTAAATGTACCATTTAGATCGTTTGTGTACTGTAAATAAATAAAAAAAATTGATTTTATTACTACCCAACCCTTTATATGGCGTCGAAAATACCTATATATTATTATTCTGGCAGGTAAAGAACAAGGTAAAAAAGATATTACGTTGAGATTACACCCACAACAAATATTCAAGCTCGTTTGTTAAACAGTTTGTGCCGTACGCTGATGAGTTAGTAAGTCAGTAAGCCAATGAGTCAGTGAGGACACTTTCTTTTATATAAAATAGATTAGAACTCACCTTCAACTACTAGTTGCGTGCCAGTTATAATTGTAGCTACTTCGTTGGTGGCGACGCATTGATAAAATCCGAAATCTAAACGGCGAATTGATTCTATAGTTAAATTTCCTGCTATGAGTTTTACGCGGTTTTTCGGCAAAGGAGTACCTAGAAATAAAAAAAGTATTTATAAAATTTTGTAACAAGCGCCACCTACCGAAAACCCCTTCAAATGGAGGGAGAGAGACACAGAATCACTATTCGTGTTAACGAGCGAACGTTAATTGACATTTTCAAAATTTATTATTTTTCTTAATTATTCTTTTATTCCTTTAAAAAGTTCCTCATTTTGTATTATTCAGTGCCGTTTATTTCACAATACCTAACTTGTAATCACGTAGAACCCTCAAAACCCACCTTATAAATTATATTTTCTTTATGAGGTACCCAACAAACAATCAACTGCCGGGAAACTGATGGCACATTGCTGCGATTAGAGGGGAGATAATCATGTTGGCTAAATGTTGAAAGGCCATTATATTTTCATTGTTTGTGGGCCATTAATCATTAATGATGTTGGGGGACCAGTTACTTGCCCATCTAATATGTTTATGATTTTTAAGCGCTCATATAATTTTAAATGAAATGTACAAAATGCAACTGATTTTGACTAAGAGAAACAAAGAGGTGGGAATTAATTGATGAAAGGGCTGGATAAAGGCAAGATTATAAAAGAAGAAAACGAAGAATTTTTAGATATGTGTCATTTTGTTGGACTTCCGATTCGGACATCGTCGTGGCAATATTGAAATGGCGGTCTCCGAATCGGGAGCCCTGAAGTCCAACAAAAAATCACTAAATATCTAGTGTAAAAGTGACCATCCGACTTTAAAAATAATACTAAATTAAATAAAATATTCTGTGCCAAGAATACAGAAGAATATTTAATTATCAAGTGCAGTGGAAGAGTGAGGACACAAGTCGGACGCACGAGGGTGCAGCTTTTCCACTTAACAAATTTTTTAAAAATAACTTAACCTGGGTAGATAGTCCTCGGATTAAGCCCATAATCACTTAGAAGAAGAAGAATGTCATTTTGTTGGTAGTTGGCTTCTCATATTTAGAATTCGACCTACTATTATTTTTTTTAAATTTCAAATTAGTGGAAAATCTTCAAACTAATTGTCAGTATATTTTTAAATATTAAGGTTACTTCTAATTAAAAGTCATTAATTCAAGTGGTTGTGTTATTATTAAAAAGAACGTTATTTTGTCTCAATAAGTTCTAAATTAATTTTCAAAATTTCATAAATTTTCTTTAGTGGGTCATAAGTAGAGAAAATATATTGTACAACTTGAGTGGATTGTCCGTATCGCACTTACACGATTAAGCACTCCGCCTATGGAGTCATGCTCATTATTCATCTTCGTGCGATATGGCTATCATATCCACTCTTCTTGCAGAAATTACTATTTACATACCGTCTCTCCTTTGCCATTGGATTGTGGGTTTCTGGGTACCTTCCGCCTCTACTGATTCGCAAGGCATATCGACCGATTCTCCAACTTTTCTCTGATACATCGTTTCCGGTTCGATGGTAAAAGTTGGAGGTTTCCTTACTAAAACTTCCATCTGGCCTGAACTCCCTTGCGTGCCTTGGGCGTTATAAGGAGTACACGTGTATCGACCCTGAAATTAGAATATTTGTATACGGTTATATGGGTTATAAATGAAAATAATGGAATTTAGTTTCTGAATAAATTAAACTTCGTTATGGAATAATAATTACAAATTTAAGATAACAAAATTTGCGGATTTTAATGTTAAAACAAAACTGTTTTAAATATTGACAATCTTGTTCATCACATTGCTCCAGTTTCGACATCAAACTAGCAAAGGCTCGTTGACATTTATCTTCAAAGATGATCTGTCTCGAATATTTTTTTCTAGTAACTGCGGGATTAGTGTACAATACACTATTACAGTTACATTACATACAGCAGCATCATCAAAGAAGTACAAAAATCCACACTTATCTGATTGGCGACGGTGATTCATTAGATAAAAGTGCAGCTACGTCACAGCGGTATGCGTGAAAGTGTTGTCATAGTCAGTGCCATATTGCAAACGTAATAAAACAGGTTTCATATTATTTGTAGATTAACACAAAGTTAATTTGTGAAATAGTTTATTTTACAAATAAACTTCCAAACACGATTTCAAACTTCAAAGATAAAAATATAAAAATGGGCGCTAAATGCTCGTTGCTAAGTAAACAAGTCAAAATTTGCTTTCTGCAACTATCGTCATCTATTATGACGTAGTCCTGCTACAATCGCCCAGGTTTAGCATACCTAAGACCCACTCAAAAACGAAATTCCATTTATAAGACGTCTTTTATTTCAAAATACTTAGGTAATTATTTTGAAAGTAATTCGTTCTATATTTACCTGATGATTTTCGTTCACTCTCGTAAACAATAGGGAACCGTTATTCATGATGACAATATCTTTGGTCTGATAAGGTTCCAACAATCGTTTGTCCTTTGTCCACGTAACGTACTGCAGAGGAGGATTGGCTTTGATATAACATTGAACTACTCCGGCTAGTCGAAATGGCAGGTATTGAATTGTAGGCGTGAATGTTACTTTTGCTGGATCTGGAAAAATAATATTATTAAATACCGTGTAAGTAGTAGAAGATAGTGAGTGCAGATTCTGTGAGGATGAGGACGAAACCTCCATTTACATTCTAACTGAATGTGTAACAATCCAGAATGTAAGGCCACTATATCTAGGAGCATATCAAATAGAAGAGGAAGATTTACCTAACTTGAAGCCACTTTAAATCATTATCTTTAGGTTTTAGGATCTGGAAACCTAAATATCGCTGTTTTCTTAAATTCAAATTTTGGAGTGATTAATTTAATAACCTCTTAATTTTTATGGATTGATGCCGATGTTAAAATTGGCAAATAAAGTAAGTCAAAGATTGTAACTCATTTGTTTACTTATGATGAGTCACAATAATAAAAACATACATATCTTCTCTTGTTGACTTTATTGGTGAATTGGAGGATATTGTCGCTAATTTATTACCAACTAGTGATTTTCTTCTTATATCAGGAGATATCAATATTGATTTTTTAACACAAAATAGAAGTCATGAATTGTGTAATAAACTTTCAGATTTCTTTGTTCTTGAAGAAGTAGTAAAAGAGCCAACTCACTTTCTGAAGTGAGTGAAACACTCATATATTATTATATTATTGGATATTATTTTTGTATGCGATGTGAAAGAAATCTCTGAGGTAGAAGTATTTGATGTAAAAGGTAAAAGGTCGTGGACTATCATATCATCTTGTTTCTTGTAGTATTAATTCATTTACTATGAAAAATAAAATTTTTAATTTCGACTTAAATCTATTTAATTGGGATATAATTTATTCACTTGATAATGTTAATAACATCATCTTCTTTTTAAATGATTCTCTAATACAATACAATTTTGTACAGTTTGTGGCTTCTACAGTATCCATATCTATTAAAATATCAGGAACATTACATTTAAAGGTAAGTATTTTTGCTTTTTTAAAATTTAATGACAGAAAATTTGCAGTGCACCATGTTTTAAAGGATTTTAGGTCATTACTAATATTTGCATAAAGAATATTGACGTCTTTATTGTGCCACAAGATAGTAGTATCGTCAGCAAATAGAATGAAGCTTCCTGAGATATTTAACTTACCTAAATCATTGATATAAATTAAAAACAGGGTGGGCCCAAAAACAGAACCTTGAGGGACACCTCATTTTATGTCACTTGTGTTCGAGTCTGAAACAGTTCGGACTCACTGTTTGCGACCTAAAAGATAGGATTTCATCCAACTCAAGGCCACATCTCTTATGCCATAAATTTCAAGCTTTTGCAGTAGTACTCCATGGTTGACACAGTCAAAAGCTTTAGTCAGATCACAAAATACTGCAGCTACGGCCTCGTTGAAATTTAAACTTGTATAAGCTAATTCCAAACAAGAAAAAACAGCGTCTCATTGCGTATGCTTCATCTAGTTCAGGACTGTTTACTTAATCATATAACATTCATATTTAATTATATAATCTCTTCCTCTTTTTGCATAGAAACAAGCCCTTATCGTTCCTCTTGCTAAGTGTAATCAGGCAACGAAATTTTGTGATTTAAGACCAATCAGCCACTGTATCAAAATCATTTGAAGTAATTATCAAAGATCAAATTACTAGGTATGTTTATCAATAAAACATTATAACTCAACATCAGTCAGGTTTTAGACATCACAGCACTACTACTGCTCTTCTGTCTATTAGCGATGATATTTTTAAAGCAACCTATCAAGGGAAAATAACATGCTTGGTTCTTCTCGACTACAGCAAGGTATTTGATACCCTAAATTATGACTTACTCTGTAAGATATTGAACGTTTTCGGATTTACAAAAAATACAGTCTCCCTCATATAAAATTTCCTACCAGTAATACAAGAGGTGCCACAGGGTTCAATTTTGGGACCAGACCTAAACGAGCTGTACATTTCTGCCTTCCAAAGCTTTGTTCAAAATTGTGCGATTCACCATTATGCTGACGACACGCAGCTTTATCGATCTTTTAACTTGTCTTCATCTTAATGAAAGACACACCGCCATGAATTAAGAGAGAGGTATTCATGTTAAGGTAAGAGATACGTCCGACAAGAGAAATAACAATATCAACATGTACAACTATAAATAAACATTTCCATAAAGAATTTTACAGTTTTAAATTCTTATGTCTAGAAATTTCCAATTCACCTTCTTCAAGAATCAGCTATTTTATACAGACTTCATCAAGTAACTTAAATTACAAAGGAAAGTGTGATTCAAGAACCAGCGCTCACAAATCATCACTTTTTAGAAGAATCTTTTTATTTTATTTGCTAATTTTTATTCTTGTCTTTTTTTTTACCGAAACGCGTTGAGTATATTTTTTAATAACTCTAATATGTGAAGTAAATTGAGGATTTTTTTCTACTATACATATAAATGAATTTGAAACAAATTGGTATTTATATTCAAACAACTCGAATTTCTTTCTTCTCGCAAGTACGGTTTTTTGTAATAAACAAATATATTCCAAACAAATTCCAGAAAATAGTTTCCAGTATGTATTCAAATGAAATATTTGTATCTACCTAGTAAAAGACCGTTTTCAAAATAACATTAAACTTACATTCGACATTCAAATAGGCCGATGCGGACTGAGGCTCTCCGATACCATTGCTCACTTCGCACAGATATTGACCCGAATCCTCCGAACTGACCGGATTTATGACTAACGAGCCGTCCCTCTTGATAGTGACCCTCGTCTCCAAAGAAGCCAATTCTTTGACCGGAGCACCTTCTCTGAACCATTTTACAGTCACGTTCCCGGGCTGCGCTTTCGCCTCGCAGTTGAACTGCACCTTTTCGCCCTCGAGTTTCGTCTGATTCGTGGGAGGAACCTGCAAAAGTAATTGCTCGGTTTTTACGGGGATCGGTACGAAAGAAAAATGACCGCGAATTAAATAAAAAGCAAAGTAAGGGTTTGTATTTAATGGTCGGCTTTTGCGAACGTGGATAATAGCTTGAATAAAAGTTTTAAAAAATCCCCCTTGTTTCGTTAGAAATTATACAGGGTGGATGTAAATGAACGTGGTTGTTGACTGTAATCTTGATTTTTCACATTAAGTTCATTTACATCCATTAATTTTGGTCCATCGAGCAAATTGAATACAATCGTTGTATTGTTTAATCGTTTAAATCAAAATTAACGGTTACCGACATATTATTAACTTTATTGACTATTTTGGTAAAGTGCAGATCCGGCTCGAAGGACCAAAATTTATAGTTGTAAATGAACTATAATTTAGATTTTTCACATTAAATAAAACACTTTATATGTTTGTGAAACAATACAGATTCCTGCTTTCGCAGCATGCAGTTACCGAACACCGAATGTTGTAAAAAACAAAACTTTTTTATCTGGAAGTTGGCGATGTTGCCAAACTCTACATAATATCTAGTTTTACACCAAAAAATACATTTTATATAAAAAAGGCAGCTACAAGCCTAACTACGGAGTCCAGCAACAGCAGTGAGGTCTTTAGCCTTCCATATTTAAAGAACAAATTAGGTGTTTTTTGGGGCCGCCAATTAATGTGTAATGGAATGGCGATATTCGGCCACGGCTCCAAAATTTTCGAAGGTTACGGGAAATGTTTTCAGTTTCCAGTGACAGGCAATTTTAATGTTTTACGTTAATATGTATTTTAATTTAATAAAAAAATTATTTTCTTTTTTTATCAGGGGTCGGAAAAGGATATCTTATTCTTTTTTACTTATTTCTTACAGGCCTTTCTGTTTCTTGCCTATGTTTTCTTCTTATCCATTGTCTTTCCTATTTTCTCTTCCTATCTCTTTAATTTAGTTCATTCTTTTTTTTCTTGGGCTTTTCCTCTTTCTTAGCTGATTTTCCTAATTCTAAAACTGTTCTTGATATTGTCTCGCTTCATTCTTAACAAGTGCCAATACAAGTTTAGTGGTAGGTAGCTGTTTGATTTTTTTTCCATTATTGGTTCTTGTTTTATTATTTTTTTATTATCCTAATTTTTTATCATATCCCATTTGGGCTTAACTACGATAGTAGTATATTGCTGTATGTGCAAATTGTGCAAACCCCATGTATAAGCAAAATGTGCAAACCGGTTTGACCCCAGTTAATGACATAGATAATTCTCAATACATTTCATTTAAATGTGTGTGCGGTAATTAATTTGTTGTATGTCCATAATGTGTACACTCCCCGTTTGTGCATAATGTGTGAAATATTATTTGCAAAAAACAAATTAATTACCGTACACACATTTGAATGGAATGTATTGAGAATTATCTATGTCTAGACAGGGTCATTAACTGAGGTTAAACCGGTTTGCACATTTTGCTAATACTTGGGGTTTGCACAATTTGCACATACAACAATATACTACTTACGGTTTCTCTTAAGGGTTTCATTTCCATACCATTCGTTTTTATTTAATTTTTCTTATGTATTACCTAGTTTTCGTAGGCATACGTTGTTGGTATTGTTTCAATATGTATTGTTTGTTAACTCAGTATACTTTCCAAATATTTAAAGTTTGTTACTCCTTTCACTAGCGTATTCTCACATCAGTGGCAGCTCGTAACTTGTGTAATAAAGAGAGCTGAGTATAAGGGCACCAACAAATCAATACAAAAAAATCATTTAAACTTAAGCGGTTGAATACGAGGCTTTTTAATACCGTTACTTTGATGATAAATAATTATTGCGAAGATAATTAAATAACACCACACTAGCTGCGCCCATAGAAAAATAAAAAGAGAAGGTTTGAATAAATGGCGGGATTTGTTTCCTTGTTGGTAGTTGAACCGTAAGCGCTTAGCGCGCTGCTATCACTAAATTCAAACCCGTTTACACCCATAAAAAAATATGTTTTCAAAAATAATGACAAAGAAATCAATAAGTTTACTGATTTACCCCTTTAAATTTCACTTTGCTATAATGTGTGATCAAATACAGGGATAATCGTTAATAAATTTAAAGTTAAAGCTAAATTTAAATATTATTAGGTGGTGTAAATCTGGCTTTGAAAATAAATTAGGTTATGTTGCTATAAATAATAATAAATATGTCAGCCTGATATTATTTTCATTTTCAAATCAGGTGATATTTTTTTCAAATGTAGGTGAGTAAATTGTATTAAGTGTAAGTTAGATTTAACTAATTTAACTATAGGCAGGTTCTTAAGAAAATCGTTAACTTCTGATTCATTTAAATTTTAATTGCAGAAGTACCTAAGTATTTTTCTCACAAAACTAACAAGAAAGTTTGTTTTTCCTGCTATTATTACTCTAGAGATAAATGGATCCACATTTTAAACATTTGCGGTCAAAAAAATGAAAGGAGTTGTGAGCGAAATGTGTGAAGCCAATTTACAAACAAATATTGTAGAACCCGAGATAGAACCTGATCTTAGTTTTACTCATAAAGACCATGATGAAAAAAGGCGAATGATTTGTGCTCAAAAAGTTATTCATTATTATATTTATCAAATAATACCCAAATATGTTCAAAAACTTATATGCTATTTAGGTCAACTTGTTAATTTTTGCATAGTTCACCTATTAAGATCATAAATCAGATGTTTTCTATTATTATTGAAATTTTAATACCTTTTATTGCAAGAAAAATGTAAGAATTTAAAAAGGTTATGACTCGTGTTTATTTTTAATTTTAAGATACACACTGCACCTTTATTTTTGTTGTGTTTTAGATATTACTGGGTATGGAGATTTTTGGAATGTGCATAAATGTGTTTCTTAATTAGGGTGAGTTTCAAAGCCCACCTGTATTGAAGCTGGAGGCTTATTGTAACCGAAATAGGCATTACAACTATTCTAGATTGAAATAGATGGAAAAAGCCTTAAAGGGACAATAAGTATAAGAATATTAGAATTAGAATGATTTGTCCTTGGATTAATAAGGGATATTTAAAACATTAAAACAATTGTGTTCATAAATTAACTACTTTGACTTTTTATAAAAACTATATCCGGTTTTTTTAATGATAAAAACATTGTCATGTGCTATGCTGGTTATCATATTATATTTTTATTTTTCAGTAATTTAGTGTGTGATATAGTGCTTGTTATGTTCAAAATATGCAGTTAGAAGATAATGAGACACATGTAATTACATGGTAATTCTAAATAAATTAAACTTGTTAAAAATGTGTTTTATTTTTCAACTAATTTTATTTTTCAGTTAAAACAAGTGACATTTTCCATTTTTCAACATTTACCTACAACAAAAATTCACTAAACTTATTGTTTGTTTAGTAATTGTAAGTAAAAGTTGTCACATAGGAAAATGTTACTTCAAATTGCTTCAAATATCTAAATTATCAAGCCCGCCAATTTTTAAATCGCTTTAATTAGTAGTGTTCTACTTTATCGACTGAAACTGACAGGTGTAGTTCAACCGTAAGCGCTTAGTGCGCTACTGTCGAGGTCAAGCAAACTTGTTACCAACTATTTACATGGAATCCGACCCCCGTGGCTGCGCCCACCAACGGCGCCAACGCATGAATCCAAAATGTATAATTTCTACCCACTACTCCGAGCTCTACACGTTGATGTCGGTAACCATGGCAACCACCCAGCGATTCGCTATAGGCTGCTGGTACTACGCCGATACAATAATTATAGAGCGCATTTATTATATGACAGAAAAAACCGTATTATTCCTATTCGTATTGTACAGATCCGGCTCGTCCGTAGCTAATTAAATTGTTCGCTCACAAACTTTATTATTGCATTTATTTGTGTTTTACCCTTTTATTGTTAATACATTTTGGAGGAGTTAAATAAAATTACCGATTAAGTATATTGAGATACTAATTTGCAGATGAATCCTGCTGCTTCACAGAGAGGGCGGCGCCCCAGCGCCCTCCTTCACCAGCCACCACTGTCTTACATTTGATCTTTTTGTTATTTTAGTTATTTATTTGCTTTTCATTTGTTTTGTTTTATTTATGTTCACCTTCATTTTCATCTGTTCTATTTCTCTAGTCCATAGGTACATTCATTTTTGCATTTTGTTTTCTGTATTTGAGATTAATATTATATCATATGTGTATGAAAGACTATTTAATCTTAGAGGTTGTAGATTTCTATATCTAATTACTGTGTTTATTTTCTATCCTTTTTCATTTATTAGTTTCACCAACATGTTCATAGTAATTATAAAAAGTAATGGGCTTGAACTATCTCCTTGTTTGATCCCTTTTTACATTTTGAATTTCTTCGACCTTTGGCCTGCTAGTTGTACTTATGCTCTTACTCTCTCGTAGGTATCATTCACAGGCTTTTTTCTCCAGGCTTTTCCAGATTACTCTTCTATCCATTGTGGCGAATACTGGTTTTAGGTCTATAAAAGTCAAAAACGTTTCTTCTATTTTTTTCTCTATCAAGTTCTTTAATAATGTATATGTACTCGTGTGCATGCCTGTTCTTCATCTACTTTTTAGTCTATGTATTCTTTTGGCCTTTTTTCTAGGCTTCTTGTGTATAGTTTGAAGCTGGTTTAGACCAAATATAAAGCTCTATGGTTAATTTCAATTTTTTATTTCTTCTTGTACTTATTTTTTTAAAAATTTTTTATACGTTTTCAGGTTTTTTTGTGTCCAAAACTTTCTCTGACCGGAATTCAAATGTTTTTGATATTTTTTAAAAAAATCTTTCCAACTGCTTTGTTTTCCAAAATTTCTCATACTCATCTTTATTCTGCTGTACTTTTGTTGACAAATATTTTTTCCACGCTGTTTTATTTTTTTTATTAAAATTTTATTTCGCTATTTCACAATTTCGTTCTTTTTAGTTGTTAATTAAATTTAATATTTCCACATAATCTTCTGTTATCATCAATAATGTTTCTTTGAAATTCATCCATCTTTCTTCCACGTTCCAGCTTGGTTCATTTTCTAGTCTTTGAAATTACTTATTTATCTCTTTTTGGTATTTTTCTATATTATTATTCATTTTAAGTTATGTATTGTTATATCAAACACCGCGCCATTATTGCAGGACCCTGTATACGAGAGCTGTTGGATATATACACCACCCGACAAATAAAATGTACCTAAAGTAAAAACTGATATTCAGGAAAAGTCAATGGTACTTACCATGATGACTGCACCTCCTGCGATGATGACCCTCGCCGTGTGAGATATTTGTCCTTCACCATTTCTGGCTATACAAGTGTAATCTCCGATGTCTTCGTGTCGAATATTTGATATTCGTAGTTCTGTTCCATCGTTAAAGATACCTTAAAAAATGGAAACAACAATTATTGAATACCTGAGACAACGATAATAATACATTTGTTAACAATTAGTTTAAAATTAAAAGGACTTATTCAGTAAGAAGCAGGGGATGGACAGCTTTGTACAGCTTGTGGAAGCACTTGTTTTCTGTATTTATATTCATTACAAATGGTTACAACGTAATCAGTTAATAATTCATGTTTTTCACCTCGGCAATAAAAAATTTCATATTACTTGCATAAAACTCCCATCACCATGCTAACCTCAAAAAAATGAAGAGAAACTTTTAGGTTATAATTTTAGTTTTCAACTCACAAATATGAAGTCTCCCAATCTCCCAATCTTATTGGAAAAGATAATTATGTTCTAAATATTTTTTATGCGAGGAGGATAAATATACTAATAGTATCTAAATGGAATTAATTTTCACCAAAACTGACTAGTTCCACTATCTCGAGTTTGACATATGACGTAAAAGTGTAATGCAAACGTCACAGCATCTCCTCTTTACTCTATCTCAATGGTAACATCTTAGAGATAGGAACGTCATTATAATGAATATCCAACAGAGTTGGACTGTATTTCACGAACCGTTATTGTTGTTTAATATTGTTATTTAAATGTTTTAATATAAAACATTTTTCTATTGATTTCTAAAATATTTTGTAGAAGAATATTAACGGATATTTAATTTGTTAATGATTTAAAGAAACATAACTTATTTATTGAATTTTACTAATTACAGTAACGATTCAAAGTGAAAAATCACGCCATCGTCTAACTCTACCTTTATCTTTTAGGATTTACTTGTAGATAACTATTTAACATTACTTTATTAACGATTTGTTTAAAATTGAAAGAAAATAGATACAATAATACACGAAATTACGTAAAAAACGGTTACCTATTGTGGAAGAAGCTTCAACAGGATTAGCGTCTTTGTACCATAGGATTTCGGGTGTGGGCGTTCCTTCCGCTTGACAGTTTAATATAATAGCGTCCCCCAGGTTTACGTAGATAATGTCTTCAGGAGTCACTACGAACCTGGGGGGTGCGTGCACATCCAAATGGAACCAAGTGCCGTTTTTCGGTTGGTTGGGTGGACGGTTGAGGAATACCACCTTGCATTCATACCTGTAAAAATTTTAAATGAAAAACATGCATTGAAAGAGTTTTTTATTCTTTCTATTATATTGTGTCTTAATAAGTTTGTACCAATGGAAAGAAAAGTTTGTTTATTGTTGAGCAACGTTTATTATAAAATTTGATTGTGGTTAAATAACAATTTGTTCATTTGTAAATATAGTTAAAGGATCACTTAAAGTAGACATTAGGGTTTCCGATACAAGAAAAATCATAAGGGAAAAATCGATTAAATATAAAATTAAAAAACTTTAACTCTAAAAAATAACTAAAATAAAATATATTTAGGTAATTTTTAAAATCAAAAACATTCTAAAATTTGTAATATTAGAATTAGACCTTTCATAAACATTTTCTTTTTTTTCTTTTCACTTTCCAAGTAACCAAAAACACAGTAGCCGATGATGACCATTCAATTTAAATTTTTAAAAAATAAAAATGGTTCTTTTCCTTTCTTTAATTTATGGACATATATTATAATAATTATGAACCATACAGGAGGTGAACCAGAATCGATCTCAGATCTCAAATTGACACACAAAATCGATTCTCGATCAAATCGAATCGTGCTCGAAAATCATAGTAGACATATCAAATGGTCAAACCTCATATTAGGTAAAAGAGTATTAAAAAAAGGAATAAATTGATTGTTGTTTTCCTAAATTTTGACTCCTCGGTAGGCCACTGCATTTTACATAACTAAAAGAGGACCACTCTACAAGTTTATTTTATTTCCGAGTTATAAGCAAAAAAAATGCAAAAATAGATTTATTGCCTTAAATTCAGATTTAGCATCCCAAAAAATATATGAAATGGAAGAAATCAAAACTGCCCCGAAACTTTCCCGCTAGGGGTCCTATTGAGCACAAATTGACTGTATTAAGTAGAATTTTAATAAATTTAATTAATCGGAAAAATCTTCTTGAAGTATTTTAAGAAAGAACAGTTCTATTCAGTAATGCTGAATAACTTTATGATTTTCGTATTTATACAACGTATTGATTTTGTTAGTATCTGACTATATAAGGTATCCTAATTCAAAATTAATAGAACGCCATCTTCATAGATACGTAGATTATTCTAAATTAAATAGTACCAATTATAACTAACTAAGGCACGAGTGGATTTGCAGCTTTCATTAAATAAATACTAATGATTGAATATACAATGGCATCAAAGATAAATTGACTTTATTCGTGTGCCAGAATAAATACCCTAAATTATATATGAGTAGTTTGTATTCCTTGGGCTGATAGCACGAACTACGAACGTCGTGCTCATTAATCATAACCAATTACGAGGACCGTCTTTTAAGATCAAAAAATGATTTTCGGCAAGTGAAACCATATTTCAAGCATAACTACGTGTTTTGAATGACGAATCTAATTTAAGATGTTGAAAAATAAAAAATTAGAAAAGAGGTATTTGTCGACAGGAGCAGAGGAAGCAGAAGAGATAGTTGAAGACCGAGAAGAGTTTATTTTGTATTCTTCTATCAAAGACAATTTGAAATTCATTTATTTTTGGTAATTTTTCAGAATTTAAACCTAACCCAAGTAGAGATGTCAAAATTTAGGATATTGAATACCATATCAAATGACGCCCAGGATTTCGCAGTAGTTTATTATGGAAATTGATAAGTTTTTTATTATTTAAATTGTTGATGCAGAGCAACAAATGGGGGAGAAATGACATTGATGAAAATGATGTACGAGCAAGATAAATCAGTTGAGAAAGAATGGATGATAAGAGGGTAGGGATATAGGGAAGTAAGATATGAGATAGGTAGTAAGATAGAGAGCATGAGTAGGAAGTTAGATGAGAAGGCAAAGAAGTTATAAATAAATAAAGTAGAAATTAAGATACAAAATAAAGATAAAAAAGTAAAACTAGAAGAGATAAAAACAGAAATTGAAGAAAAAGGATATAATGAAGAAAGTCAGAATTCACAGGGTAGGAATATAAATAAATATGAATAAAATTTGTAAAAGGAACATGGAAGAATAGAAAAAAAAATTATAAATAAAATTAAAGGGAACAGAAAACAAATTCAAATAGAAAATAGAAAACAAGGTAAAGGAAAAAATAAGAAACATAAAGTGATAAAATAAAATAAAATCATGATTAAAACAGACATAGGATGAAATAAATAAAACCATAAATAAAAATACAAATAAAAAGAAAATACAATTAAAACAGGCACGAAGTGATTATGAAAGGAAAACTACAATAAGTAGATGAATTCTTGAAAATAGTTATAAGAATCGGAGGTTGACTGAATGGGATAGAGTGAGAATAAAAGTGAAAGACAACATATTTTTTTTATGAAAAACAATCCAAAAGGGGCGTTTATTAATATTACAATCTGATCAAGAGTTGATCAATAAGTAATTTTGTTATAACCTAACTTAACTAGGGTTGCAATCTTAAAAACTAAAGTTCTACTCGCTAGTAAATCTTAGGGTCTGATAACTTAGTTAAACTAAACTAACGTGTAACACTAAACCGCACAATGCTTTGCTTTGGTATTAACATAATCATTTGGCTAAATCAAAAGTTTTTACTCTCTTGAGTCTTCTTGTCAGGTTTGTGTTGTCAAGAAACTGGATCGCCTCAACGTTCACATGTTGGTGGAGCCGTTGTTCGTGACTCTAAGCGAATTGGGTGATAGTCTGTTCAATAGTGTCCATTTGAAGGTCTCGATGAAGGTAGCTGTTTCTAATGTTCCTCAATACTTTGTTATAGAATCTCTGGATTATTAGAATATTACTGTAGCTGGCACAGAGCTAAATGTCATAGGTCCAAATTGGTTTGAGAACTTGTTTATATAATAGAATTTTGTTATATGTAGATAGGCCTACCCAAATAACCAGTACATTTTCTTGAATTTTATATTTAACTCTTTTCTTCTCTTTTTAACATGGACCTTCCAGCGAAATCTTGCATCTAATGTAATACCTAGATATTTTGCCGAGTAAGCATAAGGGACCTGGGCATTATTTATGTTGTTATTCTTTGACCATTTTTGTTAGTAAAATTAATATTAACGGATTTGATTTCGTTTAATTTAATACGCCATCTTTTGGTCCAATTATTTATTGGATTAACTGATGTTTGTAGTTTATTTGCACTATCTTCATGATATTTACCTATCGCTACGATAGAGAATGGCTGTGGAAGTAGCACATTCAGTTTATGTTTTAGGCCAACATACTTCTTTGTTTTCTAATGCTTTTTCAATCCGAACTGGTAATCTGGAATAAGTTTCCTTCCTTCAATGATAGGTTACAGTCTTTTTATTAGTATTTTTTCAAATAGTTTCGATATTATAGGCAATAGAGATATTGGCCTACATGAAGAAACTTCATTCGGAGGTTTTTCTGGTTTGGGGATCATAATGACTTCAGCTACTTTTTGCAATCTAAGGATTGAATGAGGCATTAAACAGGTATGTAAGTTTAATTATGGCTTTCTTCTGAAGTTGTTTTAAGATTTCTCCTGTAATTAAATCTTAGGATCTTAGGATTTATATTTGTTTTCATGTCTTCTGTAATTGCCTTTGGAGAGGTCGGTCTGATAATTGAGTCATCTCTCTCTAGAGGAGCTCAGTTTTGTAATTCTTCTCCTTCATTTGGTTGGAAGGTATTTTGTAAGTCCTCTGCGAATCTATTAATTTTTTGTATATTATTTCTAGCCCAGCTACCATCTGTATTCCTGATTGGAGCATTCTGTACAGTGGGACAACATATAAAATTTAAATGGGAAGACGGAATTTTGGATGTTGGAATTAATTTGGAACAAAGTACTTGATATTTGGATGTTAGTATTGGGTTATATTAGGTAAATATTAAATGTAAAAATCTAAGATGACAGACAGTTTTATTCTCTAAAATAAACTATTGGAATACAAAATTGGAGGATTTTGATATGAATAGACAGAAGTATATGTAAGGTTTTTTTATGTTTGTTAAATTGAAATTGATTGATACTGAGGTGGTTAAATAACTGGAAAAGGTATTTTGAAAAAAAAAGATAGTTGCTGAAATAGGATATCGGCATGGGCACCACGACAGGCTATAAGTCGAAAGGCATAGAGAAAAAATAAAAAATCACAAATCCAGGGAGTAGACGCTCTCGTGAGGCGGCGCCCATGAATGTCATTGGGAGATTTTTAGAGAATTTGGGAAATTAGATATTGAAAGCAAGTTGTTAAAAGGATTAAAGTTGTATGAAATAAAGTTTGCTAAAGATAAGGGACGATTCTAATTTAAAATATTAAAAACAAGTTGAAGAATTAATATCAGAAAAGAAGTATTAGGAGCAGAGGAACCAAACCAAATAGAGGTTTCAATTGCACACCACATCAGTATATTAGACTTTGAGTACTTTTTATTTCTCGGTAATCCCAAAAGATAGTAGCTATCACTTTTCCCGCCGGAATCGTCTTAGCCTTCTTTGAAGTTGTCTCACCACGTTTGGTCTACTGTTTTCTGTTTTGATTGCTCTTTGGGTTTCTGGATCTAGTGATGTATTCACTTTGTATCTACATTTAAAAACGTCGTAAAAATCTATTTTATTGCGTCAAGAGACGTTTCACCCATCTAGAACTAAGTTTCGTCATATCCAAATGTTAATGTAATGTACTTTGTCTGCGATTTTTCTCAACTTTACTAGCAAATCATTCATCAAGGTTTCATTCATCGGTAGCTGCTTTTGGTTTGCCAAAATGTGATTGTTATATCGCGTTTAAATTTAGTAAAATAGTTTGCTGCAACTGTTGCATACGAAGGAGAAGATTCGCCATGAACTTTTTCAGTTTCTATTGGTTTATTATTTAAGCCTTTCAAAAATAAATGTTATATCATCGCACGAAACTCGTTTTTATTCATGATTAGGAAAATGCACGAATTGTTTACTTAGATCGATAGTATAAGGGTGTATGTTTATGCACAATCTGTTTAAAAATTTAACAACAGTTGTAGGAACGGTGGCGCTTTCAAAACAAGTGAACAACACGGACGCGTAATTCCATATTCTAGTTCATTTTAGAATTATTCTGATCTATCGTCGCCATTATTAGCTGTCAGAACATTATAGATATGAAGCGAATGATAGATATGAGAAAATTGTAACAACTTACTTTCGTCACTAGAGACGAAAGTTAACTTTATGAGATTTTCTCTCACTAGTGACAGAAATCAAGTTTTCGCACGTAAAGAAAATTTGTTCTTTCCTTGTTTTTGTAAAAACTAATAAGATTTTTGTACTCCTGCTTTTCTTATTTTAGGACTAAAAAACTTTTAATATTTGCCTATAACGAAAATATTTCGTAGGTAAATTTTCACTCATACATATAAATGATAAAACATCTATAGCTACTTATACAGGACGAATCATGAACAACTGTAACATTGGTTAAAACTGAAAAAAAAATTGTTCGAAAAATCCATTTTTACGATATACCCACAATGTAACATTTTTTTCGTAGAAACATTTTTGTTTAATAAGATTTTTATAAAATCATAAAAAATGTTTGTCTTAGTTGAACTAAATAAACTAGATTATAATTATGATATTTTCGATGTATATTATTTATGCATTTTAGCGAAAAAACTCAGTTTAAAGAGAAAGAGTAAGATTTAAGAATATATTTACACATTCTAGAGGTTGACCTAAACAACTGAAAATTATTTCCAGCGAATTTTTGGTGTGATTTAATAATATTTTTAGAAATACTTATTTATCACGTAGCTCGTTAAATTTTATAACAAATATATTTTATATTTCACAGTAAAATGAGATTTGCATTCAATTAACCCAACCAGAGGAAAAATATTTTTATGAGTATGAGTGTGATACCTTTACATAACATTACCAGTAAGTTCCTACTTAAACGATATTAATATTTTAATTTCTTTTGACACAAATAAAGGACGATACTGTTGCATTAAATAATGCTACAATATTCCATAATACATTTTAAACAGAGCATTTATAGAACAGTCGCTTAAAAGTTCCGTTTTTGCTCTATAACATCCATTTTTGACACTTAGTATTTAAAGAAGTGCTATAATTATGTTTGCAAAGGCGGCTTCAGGACAAATTTTCGGGAGAAGCCGCTGCCGTTAGCTATTCCTTTTTTAGCATATTTTTTTAAATAAAAATAATTTTCATCTCGGGTGAGGCTATGGCACCCATAGCCCCCCCCCCCTTGCTATACGGTCCCATCTCTGGTCGGTGCCACGATTTTGTGTTCTGTCAATCGATGACATTATTCTGAATTATGAAGACTAGAAATAAGGAGGCGAATCGGCATGCTCAAAATACGGTCCCAAAAATCACACGTTAATTGAGCTTTTATAATTAACCGCATGGGAATTATACATAATTTTGTCAAAATAATAAAAATAAACTTGTTTATAGCTAAATAAAACACAGAACATACTGTTGTATTTATTTCTAAATAAGTCTTACATATTTTAATTGATACATTATTTACTATTTATTCCTATTTAAGTAAAATGCAAAATATTGATGATAAGTGTTGAAATTTGATGGGTAGGGCTAATTTTATTTTTTAATTAAAGCTAAATAGGACTGAGGGCATACTAAGACACGGTTTAAATGAAAATATTTAGTTAGGGATTTTACAAAATTTTATGAAAATAATAAAAATCAAATAATTGTTTATTGCTAACTAAAGCACAGAAAATACTGTTGATTTTAATTATTGTAAATAAGTCTTTGTTTTAATTGCCAACTAAAGTACAGAAAATACTGTTGGTATTAATTATAAGTGAGTCTTTATGTTAAACATTATTTACTATTTATTATTTAATTTTATCTAAATAAAATGAAAATTAGGTATAACTAAATTTGAACAGGTTTGGTAAGAACAGTTTTATGGTAATTTTGTATTCGACAACTACAATTTCATCATCCTGGTGAATAGTTTCTTTAGCAATAGGTTCTAGTATTTTCTTCCTTTTTTTATTCAGTTCGGTTCAATGGTGGTTTTCGTCTTTTCCTAATACTGGACAAGTATGAAGAGAGATATACATGGTATTGCTTCGATCTTTAATCTCGGTCTTTCCCTTTTTATTTTGTAGTACCATTAGTTAAAATAGTCTCATCAAACTGTAAAATATCATCTTCTAAAAAGTGTAGCTCGCAAACAAGACAGTACTTTATCAGCCCTAGGAATCACATGCTTCCATTGTTCTAAACGTTTAGGATCCTATAAAAAGTATTGGCAATGACTAAATTGGAGTTCAATAAAGAAAAATAACAGTAGTAGCTCTTCATCTAACATCAAAAAACATAAAAAAGCAAATTTTCTTTTCTAGTAAGTTAAATTTAATGTGTAATTATTGTTGTTTGTAAGTCAGGATTTATGACTTTATTATTTTTTATTAAAAAATTTTAAATTAATAAAACTACACTCCGTAAGATACTGGTTGTGACTTTTTACAATAAATATATATTATTTAGAAATAAATACATTATTTTACTTACACTAGGAGCTTTAAAAAGACTTGGATTTTTATCTCCTTGTGTTTTCTTTAATTTTATATCGGATTTATATCCCGTTTTTCAACCCGGAACGAAGCAAATCCTGCTTTGCCGTTTTTTGTTACTCATTGTTACTTGAGTCAGGTCTTTATTTCAGATTATTTTTATTCTTTTCACTAAATTTTACAAAAATTACTTTAATTCCCATTGACTTGCATAGAAAACAGACGTCGTTATTTTGCCACCCGCCAACTACAGTAGTTTTTTGGAACTCCATAAAAATAGGGACGGAAATTTGACCAAGGCCGATTCGCCTCTTTATCTCTAGTCTTCATGTTCTGAATTTCGATAATGGAAGACGTAATTTTGTAAATCTGAAATCTGAGTAATCTGCTATTAATTTATTTTTGATTTTCCAAAGCCATCTGATATATTATAGTAAGCTTTGATATTAATATATTTTTATGTATAATACGTTTTCCGCTAATTAAAAATATATTTAATTTCTGTTAAATTTGCTTTCAATTTAATAGATGAAATGTTTTATCCCTCCTATTTTACCCTTCCTTACTTAATGGTTCGAAAACTATTTTATAGCTCCTCTGTAGCTTCAAGATGTCTTAATTTTGGATAATTATGTTATAAACATATGATTTAGTTTTTTTTGGACGTTAAATAAATAGTTGTTTTGCTGGATTTGATAAACAGACCTACGTGATGTTACTTACTACTCGGATGTCGTTCCTTACCTGATTTTCAAAGAGAAATATTTGCAAATTAATTCCCAATTTGACATGGTAGGTATAAAGTTTAAACTTTCATTCCACCCTTGAAGAAAGCATATCACTTTGAAATAAATATAAATATACAAACTATATAAAACTCTAGTAAATTAAATTTTGTTTCTTACCGTGTCTAAAGCATATAGAGTAAATTTAATTAGTATTGTTGTTTCCACATTTTTTAACATTATTTGAAAACGTGCTTTAAATGTGATGGTGCCCAATCTAATTACTGAGTTTATTTTCATCCTAATGCCAACCCACGACCCTTGTACAAGAGCTTTAAAAACTTTACATGTTGTAACAGTTTTCTTAAATGGTAACAAAAATATTCTTATAACTATTCTATAGTAGTATCTGCAACACTTAAAAAATCTTTTGTACGATGAAAGTCCGCGCCCATTTTCGTTCTTTGTTGTATTATTATTAGTGTGAAAACGTTATCAGAGCATTGTCACTTGGATTAGTAAATATATTTTTTTATTTTTTTTATACTTGATGATTTTGTACTTATCCTAACTTTTACTAGCTACTATAGAAGTATGTACAGTCATTCATGAGTCATCCTGTATAACTTATTTGTATCCAGTATACGAGAATAATGATTAGTTATTATATTTTAGGTTAGAAAACTATAGAAACAAAAATTATTATACAACTTACCATCCTTGGTCCGATTCTCGAATATTGGTGAGGTTGAGGGAGGCAGCACCGTAGGGCGAATCCGGAGATACCCTGGATACCCTTCCTTCATATCCCTCGCCGCTGTGCGTGGGGTAACTTTCATACCAGATATAGATCGGTATGTCCTGTCCCTTTAAAAAGTACTCAATCAGGGCGCTGCTTTTCTATATACACGAATAAAAAAATGACTTTAATCTTTTCGATGAGTGAGTAGGTATTTTGTTTCTTATTCAAGTTATTCTAGGTGGTTGGCTTGTCGAAGTATTTGGTGACTTATCTTGATAATATAAACTTTATAGATTCAACAAAGAGCTGTAATACTTTTGTAATAAAGTTTATTCATTCACATTATAAAATGTATGTATACTTAATAATAAAATTAACATATTAAAGTACAAAAAACTTTAGTACTGCATAGCCATTTGCTTAGATGAATGTGAAATTAAAGCACTAGTTACATATTTAAAATTGAATAATAAAAATTTACAATTTATTTATAATAATTCCTTTGCTAGCAAATAGAACCGACAAAAACTGAGGGTCAATTTATTTAAAATACATAATATATTTCTAAAATATTGCTTATTGAAATAAAACGCCATTGATCCTTTTTTCTGAGATTCTATTTTTGAAAGTGTGTTTTGTTTATTTTGGACTAGGAATTTCTAAATCAAATTTATCTAAACTGTAGAGTTAAATATGTAAATGATAATGGATGTGTCGTGTTAGTTAAAGAAAAAACAATCATAGGAAATGTTTTCTCCGGCTTTGACCGAATATCATACAATTAAAATAAAGGCGAATTTAATGGGCAGGTGTTGTAGATATACAGAAGTAGGAAGTAACAATTTGATGAAAAAAATGTAAATAGATCAACGCATAAGAAATGAATTTTCGAAAAATTCGGGCAGTAAGGAATTTTACACAAATTCTAAATATCGAGGAATTCATTGAAAAAGTTTCGTCCTATAATCCTATTATTTATTATTCCCGCGCATACAATCAATTTCTCCGGGTATTGAATATGATGCTCATGCATCTAATGTGGATTTTCCATAGCCCAATACCGATACGTCTGACGATTTACATAACCGTTTAGAAGAAATGTAGCTTCATTCGGAAACACAGCTTTTTTTTAAAAAACATTGGATCTGTGTTATTTTTTCCATCATAATTTCGCAAAATATTATTCAAGAAAGATAGATTATTTTCCACTCAAAATCTATACCAAGAAACCAGAATGATAAATTTACGATTAATATACATTTATCAATATTCAATGAGAATATTTCAATAAAAAAAAACGTATACACGAAAACAGCAAACTAGATAGGTATACTCGATCAAAAATATTAAATTTAAATGTTATTGAAAAAAAATATATATATAGAAGAAATAACAAATTTTATTAGTTTCAAAAAAGAAATAATGAATTACAGGGTGTTTCTAAATTCATGCGACAAAATTCAGGAGATGATTGCTCGTATGAAATTAAGATGGGTCTTGCCTATAACAAAATTTCCTCAGCCTACCCCTTTCCGAGATATCACCCTTAAAAGGTGGTGACTAAAATTGTGTTTTTATTTTTTTTTTCTAAGATTTCAGTAAAGCTACAAACTTGAAATTCTGTAATGTATTTTGGCTAGAGGTGGTCAATTCCAGCATTTATTATGAATCATATTACATTTTACATTTATACTGTTTTCCATTCAATTAATTAAAAAACTTATAAATTATTGTGTATTTTTTTTTCTCTGCAGCTATAGGTTTTGGGAAAAAAATTTAAGAATAAAAAAATTTAAATAAAACAAGGATTTAAAGTTATAACTTTATTTCATAAAACTTCATCTCGAAAAAAAGTTTTGATATGAAATAAAGTAAGGGTTGCTAATTTTACCCCCCCTATAATATAACAGAAATATTGAAAAAATACCCGTGGTTAGTCCTTTGCGAGTGCACAAAAAATTACAACATTTCAAGTTTCTAGCTTTACTGAAATTTTAGAAAAAAAAAATAAAAACTCAGCTTTAGTCACCACCTTTTAAGGGTGACATCTCGGAAAGGGGTGGGCTGAAGAAATTTTGTTATAGGAAAGACCCATCTTAATTTCATACGAGCAATCACCTCCTGAATTTTGTCGCGTGAATTTAGAAACACCCTGTATATCTAAAAATACATTTCTTCTACTGATTTTTTTTAACAGTAATTACATCAAAATTTAAATTCATTGTGTTTCAGTAATCTGTATTTTGATAAAAATACTTTTCGTATATTTTTTTTTTATTTACGGAAATAACATAATTTACAATTCTATGGATTTTGATAACCTGGAATTCCACAAATGTCCCGAGAAGACTTTTCGAGTGAGAAGACCTCTTCCACCTTATTTTAGGTCTCTATTCGCTAGTTTCTCTTCATTCTTCTACTTCTTTCTTTCTTTCTTTCTTTCAATAGATGCAGTAATGTGTTAAAATGTGAATCCAATTTTTGGTGAAGCTATGCTGAATTGTTTCTTGAACTATTGTAATATGGAAATCTTAATGTGTCGTCTGGTTAGATACATACCAGGAATGCAAAATCTTTGACTGCGTCCTATATAAAATAACCATACTGGATTTGCTGGCACATTCCCACGATTCTATGCCATATGTCCAGATAGGAATAATTACTGCTTTATATAATAATATTTTATAGTCTTGGCATTTTTGATTTTCGGCCTACCATCAAATATAAATCTTTCATGTTCAATTCTATTTGTTTACGTTTTTATTTGTGTGATTTTTCCAAATGATGACCATTTACAAATGGTATTTAAGTGTTTGAGAGATATAGTCCTTTTTGGACCTGGCCTTTCTACTAGACTGACAACATCGGTAGTGACACACCTAATTAAAGAACTTTCCCTTGTGAAATTCAAGCAAAAATGGGATAGAACAAGAACATGTAGACTTGCCAGGGAGCTTTTAAGTTATCCTGACAACACTACAGCGAACAGATACTTGACTATGACTAGACAGAATCTGCGCCTGATTACAGGCATTCTGAGCGGACATTGACAAGTAGGGAAGCATCTTCATATCATATCATATTAGAATCCGAACTCTGCAGGGGGTACAAACAAGATGAAACTATCAAGCATATCCTTTACGATTGCCAGACTCTCTTATTTATTAGAAGATTTGTGTTCGGCGAGAATTAGTTAACACCAGCCTATATAAGAGAAGCATCTCTTGACGACGTTGTCAACTACATTAAATCCGTAGGCTGACTCACGAGTTAGGAGCTGCCTATCATCTTAGGAGGATGCACAATGGGCCTAGTGGGTTTACCCACCATCCACACATTACAGATACAGACAGATGTCTTGTTATATCGAAGGCTTGGTTTACATCTAAAAATATTGCAGAACAGTACTTTTTTCTTCTAGAATATTATTAATTTCATGTACAATACGGTGGCATTGCTGAATCATTAAATTTTTTAGGCGAAATCCAAATTAATGTTGAAGAAATACTTAAATTTTGATTATTTCTTTCTTGTTGCAGAAGTAGAAGTTGTTGTTGTTGTTGTTGTTGTTGTTGTTGTAGTAGCTTCTCTAGAAGAGTAGAAATAGTAGACTTTAGGCTTCTTGGTTTATGTGAAGAAACGCTGTTTAAATCCTAGGGTAGTATTAAATATGTAAAATAACATCACAGTTTCCTCTTTAGGCAATTTTTTCAACATCTTTGATATCATATCGATACCTGATGCACCATACTGTATATGAAAATATAATATGGTCGCATTTCAGCTTTTCCCCCCATCTCCGCCCTTAAAAACATTTTCGATGACCACTTAATCACCTATTATAGGTTTAAAGGTTTAACATTCGACCAGATAGATCATTAATGTGTTTTTATGGAATTTAATATTAAACTCTCCTACAGGTGGTCCACTTGGCCGTACCTATCTATAAGGCTGGTTTAACCTGTTTTCTAATTTTAATGGGACAATAATTCAGTGAAATTAATAATTACTGGCAATACTTCACTTAAACTGACTTTTATTATTTAAAAGACATTAATTTTTCTGTAAAAAATTGCTAGAACACACAATAGTTCAATATAATCCTGCAAAATAATATTACGAGACATCATTCGCTTGAAAACGGTAAAACAATAAAACAGATTTAATAAATGAATATTTAAGAAGAGAAAGAGTATATAAATACGGAAAAATAATATGAAGAACCTGTAGTGATTTAGGCTATATCTAATCTAACCCCACCTGTTTATTATTGAGAAAGATGAAGACTTACAAATTAGTCATTAAAACCAGAAAATCTCATTAAGTAAGTACCATACCTTGCTTGTTACCAACTAACGACATGATACAACACAGGTGCATTAGCGGTTAGACATGGTTTTTGGTGAAATATTATACCACGCACCACTGCACTGCTTGCAGGTGTATCCCGGATGGTACATTTTGAGAAGATCCATGCGTAAAAACCTCAATTATTCAGTACCAGCACACTGGTTGTTTATTAATTTAAGAATTGTTACAAGAGTAAAAACAAGCTTAAGAAATACTTTGTTGAAATCTGAATCACAGTGTACATTTAGAAGTGGGCAGTAACTACAACTCGGAATTCTTTTCTTAAAGCTTTAACTTTGCAAATTACATTCCTTATACGTTTCATCGAAACGCCCTGAACACTAACTTTGAACATCATATAATTCACTCGTATTCAGCAAGTGAAGTTTCAGATTGCAAAATTTAAGTTAGTCATGGAGGTATACTATTATTTCCTATTATTTTCAGAATCAATCAGTTTCCCCTTATAGCTTTTGTGATCTAATTCCTAGCAGTGAATCTGAAGTTTGATTTATTTTCTTTAAGACATTGTTCATATCAGACACGATGTATTCTAAATGTAGTCCAATAAGAATGGCTATCGATCATATCTCGAATACCAAATAATAAAATTTACCAAGTTAAGGTCTTCTAAAAATATGATAATTGAAATTTCCCTAGAATAATTTCCTACCTTGTCATATAAGAGGCGGGGGAAGTGGAAATCATGATTTTGAACAGTCGCTTTTAAGTCCGGTTCTGCTTAACCGAATTTTGCAAACTTGGTCTTGTTAAA